TGAGCACATCATTTTAAAAATAGAGATTCAAGTTAGCATGGGCAGTAAAATTCAAAAATTCAAAAAGTCTTTAAGATTGAGGAGTTCATCTGAGACAGATAAATTTAACATTGGAGCAAATGGGAAAAATAGAAGTGGATCCCAAAAATGTAAGGTGTTCACGTTATAAAGATGTTCAGGTTAGAAGAATGTTCAAGTTGAGAAGCTTTTGAAGTTGTGATTTATTTATACCTGATCGATCATGGCCTTGCAGTAAGTGTTTTTCATATTCTATGATTAACTTATTGATCTAAAATCCTAATTTATATTGCTCAAAAGTTACCAAAGAGGCATGAAAACTTGCCATGTGAAACAAATTGAAAGTCTTGCCATGGACATGTATCTCCGATATCATCTGTATGCCACATTTAATATACAAGTACCAGCAAAATCTAACCAATAAATGTAAAACATCTTATGACAACTCAGGAGGGACACAGGTGGGTCATACAATAATGTCATGATTCATTCATATCTGCGGCAAACCATGGAAACAATACTAATGTCAAGACTGACGAGCAATCGGATGACTTGACATGGTTTATCACTACTAATGTCAAGACTGACGAGCAATCGGATGACTTGACATGGTTTATCACTACTAATGTCAAGACTGACGAGCAATCGGATGACTTGACATGGTTTATCACTACTAATGTCAAGACTGACGAGCAATCGGATGACTTGACATGGTTTATCACTACTAATGTCAAGACTGACGAGCAATCGGATGACTTGACATGGTTTATCACTACTAATGTCAAGACTGACGAGCAATCGGATGACTTGACATGGTTTATCACTACTAATGTCAAGACTGACGAGCAATCGGATGACTTGACATGGTTTTTCAATATTATAGTTGGAAACAGATGTACATCGGAAACGACGTTACGAAACGAAACATGAGCCATTACTTAGCTATGAAGTGGCATCAGTATTACATTAGCGTTGTCTCCCACGGGAGAATGCGTATTCCTTTGGGATGAAACTGTCTCATGTACCATAATATCAACTTATGTTTTAACTACACTTGTACATATAGTCAGCCTGTATTGGTATATGTCTGTTAAGTTTCCTATCGATGTCCCCCAGGCTAAACACATACACAGTCGGTGATCATTTACTCGACTACTGGACCAAATTGTTTGACCTTATTGTTTATATGTGAACTACAAAAACTGCCACGTCAAATCAGATCCAGCCAAATGGACATTTTAATGATATCTAATGTAGGGTTAAGCAAGAAAGAAGTTCCCCAAAATATTTCAACTTGGTTAATTAGCTTGTATTATAATATAAGATGCTCCTCTGTATAACCTAGACGGAAGGAAGGAATAGAAATGCGGATGCAAGTCAGAAGGATTCGTAAGGTTATGATTATATTGCAAAACACCAGGCCCGTAGCCAGGATTTGCCAAGGGGGGGTTCAGTTTTCAAAAATTTCCAGGGGGGTTCACATTTGACAATTTTGGCCCAATTTTCGCCCGAACCCTGCGAACCCCCCTCCCCCCTGGCTACGGGCCTGAAAACACTCTTTTGTAGAATTGAATTTTAAGACCTCAGACCGACCCCCCTTTCACTCCATTTCTGTCCCCAGAAGTTCTAAAAGCCATGGGGTCGAACTAGAATTTGTTAAACATCAATAAAGCAGAAGAGCACATCCAGATATTGAATTGTGATTGGCATATCTCGGATTGCAGAGTTACAGGACGTGTATATGAAGTCCTATTTTCACTGAAGCAAACAAAATATTAGAAAGGGAATGATTGACAGTGATTCATCTCTGCTTTGCATCGTATGAATATATTATATTCACTCGGCGCTCATCGTTCATCATCAATAACCAACTAGCTAATTTGCATCCCTCTTGGACATAAGTTGCATAGAGATCTCCCAATTGTTCTTCATTGTACGTGGATGCAATTGTAATATCAAGAATTGTTGATTCATAACTTGTAATAGTAAGCGAATGATAATTAAGCATCTTACGAAACGTATAATATGTATCTAATATTGGTCAATATACTATATACATTACTGTTGTATGTATAATCCCGAACTTGCCAAAAGATTCTATCGCATAAAGGTTTATCTAATTCTAAACTCAAAGGAAATGTTTTCTTATGTTTAACGATTGTATGTATACTAAATCATGAATTCGTGATTATCTTTAAAATGGGCCAAAATCGAATAAAGTAATAAGGTTATAAGACTAAAAGCAAATTATTTTTCTGCAATCAGTTCAGCAACCTCTGATAAAAAACTATAATCCTCAAAATTGAATACAGTTCATTTAAATCAGTATAAATGCAAAATTCAGACAGAAATCATTAGATATGATTTACAAATTCAAACGAAATATACAAAAGTAGAACTTTTAACTTACCGGGAAACGTGATTGCCTTCGCTGTTAACTGCTAAGTCCTGCTAGTGAACGATGATGTGAGATGAGAATAGATGGATGGATGGATAGTGCGGAGTGATGCAGCGGAAAGACGAACGCTATACAGTACCAACAACACGACTTAGAATCGTAACTTCGATTTTTATTCATTCGTTTGAATCGATGGTATTAAAATAGAAAGATCCGTTCTTGATAGTTAGTTCCTGAGAACTAACTGATAATGATAGAGATCTGAAATCGCGTATGTAAATAACTTGTGAATTAGAAAACGGCAACGCCACGTAGTAGTAAATCTCAATGAACAATTGATGAATGATCACGTGCATCACTTTCTGGCCAATCAAAATATGATATAGCCGTTCTTTATTTTACAACAGATGCATGACTAACAACGGACACAAAACTGAAATAAGGGAAAACATTGGCCATGTATATATACAGGTCATTGTGTTGGCCTTGCAAAAATATTTTATTGTTCAAAATACGTTGCTTTGAAAATAAGATTGTATTCCATGAATGAATTGTAGGTGATTTAAAATATTATTTGAACGGGTAAGTGACAAGCGACGGTTCGTCCATCCGTCCGTCCGTCAACACCGGTGGTAAAAAAAATTATTTAAAATTACTCTGTTTGTATATGCAGATACATTTGATGTTTGACGTCAACAAGTATATTCCTAAGAAAAATTGAGACAATGCGTGTACATCAGGGAGATTCAGTTGATACGATTATGAGTTTAAATTCCTCATTATAGCTTGGCGAACGTAAGTTCCATGGACTGCCAACGTGCCAATATTATACAACAATATCATTAGTGTAACCACCAAGCCAACGAGACCACATGATTATCATGTACTAGTGGATGATTTTCAATTAGCAGTGATTCAACTTAAATATATTTCATTTCTATGTGAACGATCAATTATATTCGTGTTTAGATTTCCTCAATTAGTTACTTTCATCATATTTTACATGCCATTATATTGAACAAGCAAGCGAGTGGTCCAACTACATAGATATACATGTTCATTAATTAAAATAAACTGAGTAAAATGTTGTGTTATTGGTATATTTTGGTTAACGTGAGAACCAAAAATAACATATATCATTAATGTTTTTATGCCAATGTTTTTAAATTCTAATTTGAAAGGATTGTCCTTGGCCTTATGAACTACAGTACGCCTATTCAGTTATCAAGGCGTGACAAGTAGATGCACTGCTAAAATAAAATCTAAATCGAGGGCTTGTAGGGAGGGGATGACAGCAGAAATTCCGTGACTTCTTTCTAGGTATTTGAGTAAACACAAATGCTGTGATCGGCGCGAATTTGGCCTCTAATTGTAATTTAAGAACAATGTAGGTCCTTCCCGGGAAAAGTGTCATCGAATCACGTGACATGTTGCTTGCAAACCATATTATGTTGAGAGACAGACGGTAAGACGTGATGAACATAAGAATATCAATATATGGTAAACCATTGCATTTCATTCCTTCTTAATTCGGGAAAAACCATGAGTATGATGAAATGACTTCTTCGTTGACTTCAAATTTGTATTCATTAGAAGTTGAAGCAGTTGAACTTAGTGAATCAATTTGTCATGTGGACGCCATCTATATCTAGCCTTCCAAGTTAGAAATATATGAGAATATCAAAACATATCCATATTGTGAACGCATTTAGACTAGCAGGAAGCAATCATGAATCCCCTTTACTTTATGAGCTGGAACTTTTTAATGAATTTAATGAAACTTTTAGGAAATGATGCTATGTTCATTTATATCATCATATAGAAGATACACCTCCATAATAGCATCGCGTTTGTCAGACAAATTGGAAAGGTATTCCTCTTAATAATTTATGAAGTATTTTGATGTTTATTTAACATGCCACGTGGAAAGAAGGAAGATGAAACATAAACATATCCAAAGATTAATGATCTGTAGTAAATCTAATATCGTTCATGAAGATGGAAAATATCAATTCTATAGATCTTAAGATAATGGACCGCGTGTACACATTTGAAGAGCCTATGTGAAGTTAAGGTGCAAGTGCTTGGTTTATTTCCTATCAAACATATAAGGATAGGTCGTATTATGGATGGGCCTTCTTTAAACCACCTTCTTGTGAATCCTCTCCCGCTGTTAGCGAAACAAACATCACATGTTATATTGATCATTCTCCATTATACATAAATTATATTTCTATTAAAGATCTATCCAAAGTTTGACTTTACTCAAATTGAAGATGTTTTTGAGTTGTCAAACATTGCCACTTTGTCAACGTTAATTGTGAGATCTTGAACATTGCAACTCCGGTAAAATCCGTATTTTAACGATATAAGAAATCAGGTTTCAATTCAATATTTCCTAGATAATGGGCTGCGGATATGTGAAATTTGCAAATTCCTGTGAACCATTGACTACATGCCACGTAATGAACTACAGGGCGGAACGACTCCTAAGTGGAACGCTTTTGAGGTTCCAGAAGCTGTTCCAGATTATCCATAATAGAAAGCTAGTATCAATTATAAAGCATCACACTTAATTTTTCTATTAATAGATTAATTGAGAAACACGATTAATCATTAAGCCCCATGGAATTAATTCTAAGCTGAATAATCCAAGACTGAAAAGCTACGCAAACACTTAGTAAATCTATTTCTGCCTTTGCAAGTATGTATTTATTCAAGAACTAAATGCAAATAGTGGAACCAAAATCAAAGTATGAAATGAGGAACCCATAGACGACAAATCGTTTTGATGTTTGAATAACAACGTTTTTCAAATTAGGATATGTCAACATTGATTTGCTGTGTTTCCAAGCAGCCCTCCATCGGTGGAAACTCCATGGCGTTAACAACAGGCAAGAGAAAAAGTATGTCTTTAAATAAGGATTAACTATAATGATTATTTTTAAGAAAACTGACAAGTAAAACTGACTCAAAATGGATTTCAAAGACACACGATTGTACAAAACGCTGACGGGGACAGATGTGGCTGAAATCAGCACCGTTATGCATGAGTTGATAAAAACAGGTCGAGATATCACTCTACAAGACCCTATCACCGGAAGAGGATATCTACACGTAATAGCCGAACATTCCGATCGATTTAAAGACGCTCGTGCCATTCCTGTTGTCTACCAGTTGACATATGCAGGAATAGATATAAACCTACAAGACATCAACGGAGACACGGCCTTGCATATAGTTGTAAAGAATACGGGAGCACATGCCATAATGGTCGCTCTGATAAGGTAAAGACTATTAAATATATATAAACCTACAAGACATCAACGGAGACACGGCCTTGCATATCGTTGTAAAGAACATGGGAGCACATGCCATAATGGTCGCTCTGATAAGGTAGAAGACAATTAAATATATATCGTTGTAAAGAACACGGGACACATGCCATAATGGTCGCTCTGATAAGGTAGAAGACAATTAAATATATATCGTTGTAAAGAACATGGGAGCACATGCCATAATGGTCGCTCTGATAAGGTAGAAGACAATTAAATATATATCGTTGTAAAGAACACGGGAGCACATGCCATAATGGTCGCTCTGATAAGGTAGAAGACAATTAAATATATATCGTTGTAAAGAACACGGGAGCACATGCCATAATGGTCGCTCTGATAAGGTAGAAGACAATTAAATATATATCGTTGTAAAGAACACGGGAGCACATGCCATAATGGTCGCTCTGATAAGGTAGAAGACAATTAAATATATATCGTTGTAAAGAACACGGGAGCACATGCCATAATGGTCGCTCTGATAAGGTAGAAGACAATTCAAAATATATATCGTTGTAAAGAACACTGGAGCACATGCCATAATGGTCGCTCTGATAAGGTAGAAGACAATTAAATATATATCGTTGTAAAGAACACGGGACACATGCCATAATGGTCGCTCTGATAAGGTAGAAGACAATTAAATATATATCGTTGTAAAGAACATGGGAGCACATGCCATAATGGTCGCTCTGATAAGGTAGAAGACAATTCAAAATATATATCGTTGTAAAGAACACTGGAGCACATGCCATAATGGTCGCTCTGATAAGGTAGAAGACAATTCAAAATATATATCGTTGTAAAGAACACTGGAGCACATGCCATAATGGTCGCTCTGATAAGGTAGAAGACAATTCAAAATATATATCGTTGTAAAGAACACGGGAGCACATGCCATAATGGTCGCTCTGATAAGGTAGAAGACAATTCTATATATATCGTTGTAAAGAACACGGGAGCACATGCCATAATGGTCGCTCTGATAAGGTAGAAGACAATTCAAAATATATCAAGGAAAAATATCGAATAATTCGTGCTACAAAATTGAATACAAGTGGGATCTTTTTATCTAATTTTTCAAACTCGTTTCTCGATCTCTTTAATGCAATTTTAAACTTTTACGAAGCCACCCTAGCCTTGTTGTCACCATTTACTCCAAACACGATCCGTTCGTGTTCTATTATTGTATATTTTTTAATCTTTTAAAATAAGCAAATGTCATCATATATCATGATATTCTGATACGTTCAGATCCGGGGCAGATATGGGGATATTAAACAAGAAAGGAGAGAGTCCACTCGACTGTATCAAGCACTACCAGCCTCTAGGACACGGTGAAATGGAAATGTGGCACAACGCTTATAAACCAGGTGAGGGAAATCAAAATTGTTAAACTAACCTTAACAACGTAGAGCCGACGTACCATTTAGAAATCACAGCTAGAACAGGTCAAGATAATTTGGTAATCTAAGAGAACAAAGAGTTCAATGGTATGAGATGCTACAAATATAATTCCATATATCTATATTCGAATCATAATTTTGGACGAAAACTATAGATTACCGACAATATTCATCGAGAAGGTATTTTAATAAATACATCTAACAATTAAATCAGTATAATTTTTGCAGATTTTAAATTGCTTCGACTATTTTTATGAAGTGTTTCTATTTATGATCATACAATTACTTCGATCTTTACAGGTCTGTACGACGCCGTAATGGGCGCGAACCCCGACGCGGAGCTCGTTGAACGCCTCCTTAAGTCCTGGTGCAGGGTGATCATATTCCGTAATAAGGAGTGGATCAATCTGGCTGAGCTTGTTCAACCAAGAACTGGAAATACAGAGATCTCAAACCTACTCAAGAAATATCAATGGACAAATCAATACGTACATGCGACGCTAGGTGGCTCTGTTTATCACATGAAATATCTCCTCGCAAAAGGTAAACAATTATTGTAGTCAAAAGATAAATCTAAGCAAGTTCAGTTTTCAACACTTACTATAAAGTAATATCTAATCAAATAAACCAACTTTTAATAATTATGAGGAAAACGAAACTAACTGTATTCACGAGAGCATCTAACTGCATTGCCCGCTTCATTCGGATTGACAATCATAGAATATATTTTATCAATCGACGACGTCAGTGGTGTCGCAAGATGCCCATTCATATATGTATTTTCCGATGTCCAATGGTAAGCAGAGACCGATGTCAGCGTTTATGATAACTCTTTGTGATAACTTTTATCCATTTTGCTAACAATGTATGTTTTAGACACTGGTCCAAAAATCGACGTGAAGACTTTTGACGTGTCTCATTTCACGCCATTCCCGGAGTGTCTCCCTATGCCACGCCCCCTTCTTGCCTCGTCCTGGGAGCAATTGAACTTTGACATCATTGAAGAACTAATGACATCTGGTGCCAATACTAGTGTGTTATACGGAACTGCAGAGCCGGGAGAAAACTCAAAGAAACCTCTGATATTTCACGTAAAGTACTTTTAGTAACGTAAAACTTGACGCGTAAATTGTACATATGCCTAGGCCTGAAAGTGTGTGAAAATTTCTGGGTTAATACAATCCTCAGATTTTCATAAATCACTGTAGGTGATTAAATGGCAGCACACCCAATGTAAAACAATGTGCACCACCGATAGTCCCGATAATACAATGCTGTGTCGCACAACCACTGCATATGTGCATATTGAATTAAACCGTTTTTGTTAAGTATGACATCGAAATGTAATGGAAAATATCCAGTTAGAACAGTCTAACAGTAACATATAATTGAGCTTTTAATTTCAGTTGGCGATAGGTCCTAACAAACCATCTCTGAGAATCATCCACAGGATATTAAAACAATCCAAAATGAACTGTAAAAACCCAATGGGCGAAACATTAATCTACGAGTGTATACGACGAGGTGAATCCAAAGGCATGATACAATCATTGATTAACTATGGAACCGATATTAGCTTGAGGAACGTGGACGGTCAGACTGCCCGAGATGCTGCGGAAGAACACAGCAAACCAGAATACGTTGAACTCATTGATAAGCACGTTGGAGACACTGTCATTAAAGGTGATATGAATGCATTAAAGAAGCTTGCCATACAAGGGTATGACCACCTGGAAGATATTGGTAGAGACGCAGATGTCACGTATGCTATATGCAGCAAAATATGGAGAGATGACATGTATGCATTTTTCAGAAACATTCCAAAAATAGAGGTAGGTCCGGATTTTTTTTCATCCTGGCTTGAAATAATATGAAATCACAAACTCAAGAAATGTTGCATTGTAATAAGCAAATTGGATACTTTCTTTAATATTTCAAAATTGTTAAATATCACATTTTCATGGAAAAGTTGCCCCTGGGTATTATGATGTCACATTACTATGGTAACCTTAACTCTAACTGCTTTACTTAGTTTTTTTAACTTAAAGGTTTTAGTTGCAATACTTAAAAGTACATTGTGTAGAAATTTGAAGACAGTTGGTGCAGAATTGACAAAATGCCAGCACCAATCCTATTATTTTTGGAACACCCTGTATAAGTCATTCATGAATTCCAGGCGAAATGTGAAGATCTGTTTACAGCGGTTGATACATGTGACCTGGACAAAATCAAGAAGTTATCAGATGATATTGATTACGAAAATGCCAGAGATGCATGCGGGATGAGTCTTCTTCATAGAGCATTACTTCAAAACGATATTCCACACAGACTCGTAGAGATTATCATTGAGCGCTTCCCCCACACAGTTCAATCTGTTGATAACGTAAGTTAAGACAGAACGTTTTTATTCAAAATTGATAAAGGTACCGTCCTTCTATGTTCCCCTTTTTACCACAAAAAGTGCTCTTGAAAAAATGGTATGGGAACAAATAATGGTACTTGTAGGGACATTAACCTTAGTATATATATAAAATAATACGATGTGGGTAGAACTAATCCCTGACAGGACCACAATTCTACAGGTTCGCCCTGGGATGAAGGTTCGGCGCACCAACTTCTATAACCTCCTACTATTTCTCGTTTTAGATGATGCGGACTCCACTTCATTTTGCGTACCTACTTCATGGGGACTCGGAAATTATTGATGTGCTGCTAAATAATGGCGCTTCCAACAACAGTATTGATGTGGTAACACATTTTTACAGTTATTTCGTTATATATCATTTCAAAAGTCTAATACACCCCCAATCCACAAAATCATCTTGCAGCGCTGTATAGAGCTGTAAACAGTGAACATTGCAGTTCGAGCACTGCGATGTACAGTGCTATTTGATGGATGTCAACTATTAACATAGGTTTTAGGCCGATTTAAAGATGGCAGAAACGTAAAGAGAAGATATGGAAAACAGATTGATTGTCACCTTTATCTAAAAATAAAAACTATTGCTGACCCATAAGACCAGACTGTATAAAGATTCATCTGAAATAACGTTAAGCGATAAAAACTTAGAATTGGTTTCAGAACAAGGTGGCGACAGAATGAAGTTAAAAGTAATTTCCCAAAATCCTGGCAATCTTTCTATCTTATAATGAGGCTATAAAATAATAGCTTTACCAGTCGGGATTTTGCCATTTCTCATGCGAATAGGATTTTAGAAATGGGTTGATGACTAAATGTTATGAAGGAAAACGCCATTGAATTTTGTTGTGAATTTTCATTTACTTGTGCCAAATATACAAATTGAAACGAATCTCAATACCTGCCAAATAAGGAGCAATGTTTTGTTAATTATACTGTGTTTTTAGAATGGATTGACAGCGACCGATTATAAGTCTTCCAACTGCTCCACTCTACAATGGAAGCGGCTACAGAGAAACGTCCTTGACTTCCAGCTTCATGTAAAACTCAAACAAATGAAGGTTCATGATAACTTCAAAAGAGCAATTCAGGTAAAGAGTATATCCAGTGCAAACCGTATTCTATTCTTCAAACTTAAATGTAAAAGGCAGTTAGTTATTTACCAAGTTTTTCGAATGAATGCCATCTTAAAGGAAGAGTCTGGCGACTGACCCCCCCCCCCCCCCATCAATTATACTATTTTGATTTCTTTCTTTTATTTGCCATTATAGGAAAATGACATGAAACGTATTACTTCAATGGTTGAGGAGCTTAAGATAGTGTCAGGTAATTCCGTAAAGCCCAATTTGATGTCAGTGTACAGCACTATGTTATTCTATTGTGTGGATGAAAAGAAGGAACACATAGCAAGGTATCTTCTAAAGAATGGAGCGGATCCAGATATATATCAGGTGTGTACCCTTTTTACAATAACACTGTTAACAGATCGTTTCGGTAACAAAATGTCAGAACCTCGAATGTACGATTTTTCTTTTTTATGACTTCAGAAACGGTTAAGATCTGCACTTCTAACTCGTTTCGTTTACGTAATTATAGTAAGGTATTAAATCGACGATTCTGTTGTCTTTGAACTACATGTATTTGCATGTTCGCAAACATGTACATTTTTACATATGATTCTTACACACGTTTGTGATGAAAATGGCATGAAAGTTCTGCCTACAACGCGTGAAATAAGGAAAAGAGGAAAATCGTACCTTCGAGGTTTCGCCATTTTGTTACTGAAACGATCCGTTTCGGTTGCTTTCACTTCATTAAGAAAACACATGACTAAAATTACCCATGCAGCAAAGAGGTAACTTTACTAGGCACGTGTGCATTGAGATTGATCTAGCCTTATCCAATGATATATAATATGTTATTCCGTGACGTATTTTTTACATTCCTTACAGACCAATGCTGACAAAACTACTTCGTGTGGTCAGCCTTGTGTGATTTCTCTTCTGGAAAAGGCCACATCGACTGGAATGGCATCTTTGAGAGACGACATTATTCAGATAAGAAACAAAAAGGTACATCTCCATATTGTGTTTATTGCTTCATTTACACACTATTCTCCACAATGGCACCTTACCCAACTGCCATTGTCACTTTAAAACAAAAAATGAAGATTCTGTCTTTTTAATTTTTAAAATCACAAGGCCTTCATCTTACATTGACAGAATATTAAATTGAAATATGAAAAACATAGCCAATACTCCCTGACGTTGAAAAATACGACAACGACTGTTGGGGATAAAATGAAATTATGAGAATTTCTCAATCGGTTACGCACATCCTTCTCTTCCTGTATTAAGTAAAACATTTCTTTCAGTTCATGAATTTCATTGATTGTATTGAAAATACTTTGGTTTAATATACTAAAGGCATGTTTTCTATTTTACAGCGGACTGAGGGCAGAGGAACAGACGACAAATGCTTAGATGTCTTCATGAACTTCGGTGGAGTCTAAAGATTTAGTAATTTTTACACAAGTAAAAAAGATGTCAAAACAATGTGACTTTCATGTTCAAGAGGAGAATAAGCCCAATGGACAAATCACATAGTTCGTTGCCATGACAACGTATATTTATATATTGCCCACATACTGTTTTTGAATTATTGAAGAAACATGTTTAGTTTTTCACAAAAATATTTTATTAGTTGTATGTATATACAATTGCTTGTGTTGAGGTACAGCATCCTATCTATATACAAGAATTATTTTTACAAGAATACATAACTGTAATGTGAAGAACATATTTTTAAAGATTCTTTCTATGAAATTTAATAAATGATCTGCTGATTTTATCATGATAGATTCTTGTGTCGAACCCTCGTTCAGCCTATCGGCTATTCCTCACATAAACATGCCGAACTTGAAAGAAGAGAGTAGCGGTGGCCAGAGCCTTGTCGCAAAATCAATTGTAAAGGCGCCTTCTGAGTGCGAGACTAGATGGATTTTGACTTTACGAGTGGCAAATTACTCCTATTCGTCTAAACATCATCAAAATTGTCTCTCTTAATAAGAACAACAGCTGAAATAAACATGATAATGTATTCCCAGATCCATAGTGTACTGAGGTCCCCCCAGCCTCCTCCCCAGTCATAATCCCCAACCTCCTTTGGGAGTTTGCAATCATCGGGGGTCTGCCTCTTACACGAACGCAACCACGGCTTGAAATTACGAATTCTGCTAAGTGGTGTAGGATCCTGGATCCATTTGATCGCATCTGATGATGTCACGATGTAGACGTCATCAAGCTGGAGGAGTTTCTTGATAAACATATCGAATCCATCGACTGTGTACTTGTAGCTGGAAAACCAGATGGCGTGCATGTTCAAGCCAAACGGTGCGCGGTTGGTTTCGTAATTGCGGAGAAAATTCATCCAAAGGAACTCGTACATTTCCTCGGCATCTCCTGGACGATTAAGACATTTATCCACAAATGAACATTCAATTCCGCCCACGTCCATTGTACGTAAGACTGGAATTTCCCAGAACCCTGGGTAACGTTTATGTGGACAAGGAGGTATATTACAATTCTGGTCCTGTTCTTCCATACTGAAGTCCAGTGTGTACGGCCAAAGAGTTGGGTCCTCGAGATTGGCTGGGCCTCCGACAATCGTAGCATCATAGCTAAAATTGAATTTCTCAAGCATACTAAATTGGTTGTCCCCTCCAACAGCTAAGAATGGGCTTCGCATTCCTTGTATTTCTTTTATGGGCACCTTAGCGTCCCTCATTAAGTTGTTCTTCTGGCCCCAGATCTCAAATTCCCAATCCTCATATTCAGCATTCGACCACCAATCTGTGGGGACCCTGTGCGTAATGCTATGGCTGGCAATTTCATGCCCGAGTGCCCACATGCGGTTGACCATACAATAATCTGTGTAGTTATGGGACACAAACAACGTGATACTAATTGGGCAGCCATTTGGGTTCTTTCTACTTGGATGAAACAATTTCTTAAAATGACCCCATACTTGGGCATTTACAGCATCGTCAAATGTAAACATTACCATTTGTGGCGTCTCTTTACGGCTGAGTTTTCCAGGAATTTTAGTCCCTGCACAATTACAATATGGCAGTTTACAATTGTCCGAGTTACATAGATTTATCGGCTTCCAATCAGGTTCTTCCTCCTCAACTAGATCCTGGCACAGTAAAGGAACAGAGAGGACTATAATTCCAAGGACGACTAATCCTGTTTGTCCAAACCTAGCCATATTTGGCTGAAATGGTAATGACGCAATATGTATATCTGCTTTGTTTTCTTACTGAATATTACTGAGTCACTTTGCAGTGTTGATGCTAATGTTAATGTAAAAGGTTTAGGCCAGAAAGCTATTAATGCCAATCAAGTTAAAGAAAGAGCCTCGGGTGAAAATACAATAAACAGCTCGCTAATTACACACTGTTCTCTGACTGTACGGCATTTTACCCGATTGCATTTGCGGAAACAAGCTTGTCTTGACCATGGGCTCTATCAGTGGTAGAGCCCATGTCTTGACATAGTTCATTTATATTTCAATCAAGGGCGTTGTCAAGATACAAAAGATAGGTGAGGCAAAGTTAAATGAAAAATAGAAATAAATTTGAATTAAGTGGATGACATTATTTATTCATGGTATCGATTAGAACATTTCTGCATTGGAATTTTTGAAACCAGCAAATGTCTAGTCTGTGCGCCTTATGCCAGGCTACGCTTAGTTCTGGCACTGGATAAATATCACTAATGATGACATATAGGACTTAAATTAGCATTAATTTATCAATTAATTAATTAATTAAGTAATTAAAAAGAAAAGAAATAGAACTATGATTAGCAATCACACACCGGAATACCCTGACAACGGTAAAGTCAGATACCGTTGTCAAAAATGGCAAGCATAACCGTCGCTTCAACTCCGGCTTAAATCACTTGGTCCTCGTCTCATGGGACTTTATCGTCGCTAATTCTGTGCATGTTTTAAGCTCTTGTGATGATGTCGTATTATATAAAATCCCATTTTAAATCAAATGGGGTCGTGAATCGCAACAATATAGCGTCTTCGATATCGTCAATGACAACGGAATCTGAATTTGAAATAATTTAGAAAGGCAACGGCATGTGGTAAGATGTGACAACGGATTATGATGGATGTCTTGCATTGGAACATAGGAAAATGACAAAGGTAGACACTTTACCGATGTCTTTACATATACCGTTGTCAAATATTACCGTTGTCATCCCGAGTTTACATCACATTTGACCCACACCTACCGTTGTCATTTATACAGTATCCGTTGTCCTGTGTCATATTTTGATCGGTAAAATTAAAGCCTTTATTTCGATGGTAGAACATATTTAACGATCCGTAGAAAAACACTTTGAGTGATTGCTGTACCAAAGTTCATGAAAATGGAATTGAAGCGACGGTTATGTCCGCCATTTGTGACAACGGTATCTGACTTAACCGTTGTCAGGGTATTCCGGTGTGAATCAATAGAAAACAACTTAGTTCACAAGTTCAGGACCCATTGTTTTTAAAAATATACGTTTAACCAGGCCCGTAAGACACTTTTCTCCAAGGGGGGAGCGGTTTTTAGCTTACTAAAGAGAATATAAAATTGTCATTTTTTTGCCGCGTACATCAAATCGCGTAAGACAGAGGGGGGGGGGGTCAGTTACTCCCTATATTGGTTTGGAATTAACAAATGCATGCAACGTCCAATTGTTTTGTGGGGGGTGGGAAGAGTGGTCCACTCCCCCTAGAAAATTTTACAGTTTTGAGATGCTATTTGGTGCGTTCTGGGCACTTTCAAAGTGTGAGTTTCTAAGAAGTACGCCACCACCACGGGAATAAGAGTTGAGTGAATACAAAACCGAGCATATATGGGGGTCTGGGGGTTCTCCCCCAGGAAAATTTTGAAATTTGGTTGTATTTGGAGCGAATTTGCAACCATCTGGTACGCCTGTGCGTTATGAGTCAATAAGAAAAATGTGATTTTTTTTCAAATTCTTTTGGGGGTGTCAAAGAGGATGAGAGGGTGAAGTGGGGTGGGGTGCCAGTAGGGGAGCAAGGGGTTGTCCCCCAGAAACATTGACCATATCAAGGTGCTTTTTGATGATGTCTGGGCACTTAAAAATGTCTGAGACAATACATAAAATTCAGAATATTTTCTTTTGTTTTGTGGGGGATGTGAGGGGTGGCTAACTCTCCTAGAAAATTTTACAATTTAAAGATGATATTTGGTGCTTCTTGGCACTTTTAAAGTGTATTAGTCAATAAAAACATTGAAAAACAATCACAATTTTTTTCAAATTTGGGGGGTGTCAAAGGGGGGAGGGGTGCCAGAGGGGTAGGTGGGGCTGGGGTGCCAGAGGGGGAGCAAGTGTTTCTCCCCCATATCAAAATTTACAATAGCAAGGTGCTATTCGATGAAGTTTGGGCACTTTAAAAGTGTCTGTGCCTAAAAGTGCCTATTTCCCAAGAAAATTTTACAATTTTAAGATGCTATTTGGTGCTTTCTGGGCACTTTCAAAGGGTATGAGTCAATAAAAAAAATTGAAAAATCTCTTTTTTTTGGGGGGGGTGTTAAGGGAGGGGGGCTGCCAGAGGGGGAGGGGGAGAAGGAGTGGGGATGCCAGAGGGCGAGTGAGTGTTAGTCTTCCAGAATCATTAACTTTATCAAGGAGCTATTTGATGATGTCTGGGCAATTTAAAAGTGTCTGAGACAATACATAAAACAAATTCACAACTTTTTTTTGGGGGGGGGGTCAAGGGGGGGCGCCAGAGGGGGGGTTATGCAAGTGCAAGATGCAAGAGGGGGAGTAAGTCCCCCAGAAACACGAACTATATCAAGGAGCTATTTGATGATATCTGGGCACTTTAAAAGTGTCTGAGACAAAACTCTAAAATAAATTTAAAACTTTTCCATTGTTTTGTGGGGGGTGTGAGGGGTAGCCAATACCCCTAGAAAATTTTACAATTTTAAGATGCTATTTGGGGCTTTCTGGGTACTTTCAAAGTGTATGAGTCAATGAAAAGAAATTACAAAAAAATATTTTTCAAAGAAAAAAAATTTTTCAAATTTTTTTTTTCAAATTTATTTTGGGGGTGACAAAGGGGGGTGCGGTCGCACCCCCCCCCATCTGACGGCCCTGTTAACCTATTCGATAATTGAATGAAATGTCATATTGACCGTGTGTTCACACTTGGCCACTTGAACACATGCGCGTGCGCACTTAGGCATTCCGTATGCAGTTATTTGAGAAAATGTCAGATGTCAGAATAAAAAGTAAATCTAAAGATAGAATAGATGTGATAGCTATATTGGTATAACATGATTCCTAAAATATAACCATAACTTATGCTTGATTCTTTATGTAATTACTCCCATGTTGTTGATTTTAGACGCTATTAACGAGGCTCAACTTTTAAAGAGTTAGTACAAATCAAGATATCTCCCATTATACTCGCTCTATCACTGCTTAGAACCATACTAGGTTTTTTAAACCGAGCAAGGGAAATAAGTAGATGAAGTCGATATCTAGCCATCCAGGAGTCGAACCTGGCTCAAAGAATGTTTAGATCTTTGAGGTATCCCACACAACTGTGATTGATATCTACACATAGAAATTTTTCCCAAGGTTAGCAAAACATCCAATCCAGCAAATAGTTGTGTCCATAGTAAGACTAAATTAGAAAACAGCAACTCCCCAATGACATTGGATTATATTTTTACTAAGAATGGCGGCCATTTTGAAACAGGTTGCCATATTGATGAAAATGCCTTTTTGAGTGGAGGACATATGCCAATGAAACATTAGCATATGAAAGTTTAAAGTCTGTAAAATCCGTCTACTGTTCTCAGGTTCTTAGTTATCAAAGATTGCATTTTTTCGAAAAATGGTGGCAATTTTTAATTAAGTGGCCATATCGAAACTTTATTCTTTAGTAGAGGTCCCATGGCCATAAAACACCAGCCTCTTAAATTCTCAAATCAGTCAATCAGTATTTGAGTTATTTTCCGGAGAGACAGTACTAGAGACGGCTTCTCCTCGAACGACGTTCGGTGGGATAAATATCGCTCTTACACGGTGTCTTATGACGTGCACGGACCTGGAGAAATACGGGCTAATCTCAACTTTAAGCGTTAATATCTGCCTTATTTAAAAAGCTAACTATGTGCTTTATATATCATTTTGAAGTATTTTTTATTCGCATTTCACTGAAATTATTTTTCCTTGAAACGTTTGATGGGATCTACTACATTTTTAAACTTAAATGTACCTCGTCAAATACGCTGTAAGACGTAACATTTCACGCTTACACTGTTCGTTGAAATCGGGATAACTTTTGAAATACTGATCAGAATTTTACTAAAATTTCACATTTTATTTAATAGAACATGTGCATTTATGACGTCCCACTTGCATAAAGGCTTCAGTTCAAATTGTCTTATATGAACGCTTTTAAAATTTTCAAAATTGTGTAAGGTTTTGAAGGCGAAGGAGACAGGCAATAAGTTTACCTAACCTTCTAATTTAGGTCTGATTTAAAAAAAATTAACTGCACAATATTGTCATGGCGGAATTTACAGACAATAACCGATTTCTTTATTTTTCAAATAATATTAAAATAACAGCTGATTTTAGAGAGTTGAAAAAATGTAACGCATCGATTTTTTACCACAAATTCCGTACATATCAATTTTTACTAACGCCCCGAGTGGATTTCCTGACCGTTTTTCAAAAATTCAATATATCTTAGAAATACAATGTCCTCGAGATCTTGTTGCTCTGTAAATTCTACCAGGATTGAATAAGGATAAAGCATATTATTTTTAGGTTGACTAAACTTGACAAAATGTAACGCTTGTCGTTTTTGACGTTATAAGTCTCTGCCCAATACTGCCCATTGTTTTGTTTTGGTATTTTGACGCCATTAATGTTACGCTAAGTGTCCCCAGTTTTGTGCGACGTGTATCTTCCCATATATCACAATTTGTTCAAAATTCCACGACTTGGTTCAATCATGGCCATTGACTTGGGTTAGTTCACCCTTGTATCCAACCATAGGCAATAGTGAAGTTTCACGTGTACATTTAAAGGGATATTCCTTGCCAAACCATCTCTCTCCTCATATGGTAGATATAACCATATATATGCTTGCCATGTTTAGCAAAACACGCAAAAATGTTTTGATATGGTCAAATTTGATCACTTAGAAATGTGATGCTCAATTCCAGTAAGCTGCCATCTTTTAAAATTTCACACAGGAAGTGATGTCATCGACTCTCAACTTTGCATATAGCATTTGGTGAGGAGCTATTAAGAATTACAAAACCAGCAAAATATTCTTTTTCAACTTTGTATCTTATTTAATCCTTCTGAAAATCTCTTCTTTTATTCTAAGTTGACAAGCCCTGAAAATATTTTTGCACAGAAAGTAATGATCACTTGTCTAGAAGTGATTTTGTGCTACTTTCCTATACTGTTATGGGCAAGGTTATAGAAGTTGAGAGTTGATGACATCACTTCCTGCAAGAAATCTTAAAAGATGGCAGCTCACTGGAAATAAGCACTAGATTTTTAAATGATCAATATTGACCATATTAAAACATTTTCCCATATTTTGCTAAATATGGAAACTATATATATGATTATAGCTACCATATCAAGAGAGAAAAGGGCCGGGAAAGGAATATTCCTTTAAAGATCTTTTAAAGAGATTGGCAGCCATCCAAGTACAAAATGACATTTTTTAAAACCACAGACCTCAATATAAGTAAATTGAATAAAAAATATTTACGGCACAGTCTAGTGTTTACTAAACGAAATGCTGACTCTAATGATAGATATGTTCAAAGTACAATTATGTTTTCAACCCACATCTCATGGATCTAGACGAGTAAACATTCCGGAGAAATCGTCTATGATGATTCAACTCTAAACATCATCACGATTACCCTGCAGTCCGATTGGCTCTATACACTCAACTCTGACTAATATAAATGATTTGAGTTTGATATTGGTAACTTCTGAAAATAAAATATATGAACTAATTGTATGATCCTGATTCTGAATGTATGTTGACCAAATCAAAGAATTATCTGTAATCTAAAGAGGGCAGACGAACGTGTCCTCTTACGAAGGGTATATCAAGATTGATTGTCGACAGTGAGGATTCAGGGTTCGAAATTCAAAGCTGCCGATTGCCAATGGCAACCACTTTTCACCCTTAGCAGTACAATTGGAAAGACTGGTTGCCTGTTGGGCAATGGACTGAATACCAATGATTGATTGTGATCGTGTTTTTAACCTTTGAAAATGTTCTATCCGTCTATTGTCCGTATGTTCCGTAACCAAATAACCTGCCAATCATTTACAGTGGATATAAATCTAATATCTGTTTCAAGTGCGATATCACATACAGTAATCTATATTAGCTGATGGTCACGTGACCTTCCCATAATGCTCTTTTACCAATTGTAAATAAATAAAAGTAGATGAACTTTGTGTGCATGTGTTCTTGTCAGTGTTATTAACATTTGGCAGAGCTTTTAGAAATGTTGCATAACTTCTGGCCAAAAACCAGCAACGTTACAGAAATGATTGGGGAAATATCACCGTTTAAACTGTTGTATTTTGGGATGTTACACGTTACAGCTATTAATCCACATCCACACGTGCCAGATCTTTTTTATTTTTGACTGGCTTCTAGTCCACACACAAATCATTACATCACCTAATAATACTTTGTCCAGAACTGAGATTCAGAGAAATTTCCCTCCAATGATCTCACACTATTAGTAGTACTAGATATAGTACTCAATGGCAAAAAGAAAAGAAACAGAACATTCAATTTATTATTTTACAGCATAAAAATATTTATTCATATATAAGTCTTGACACTTTGAAGAAAGCATGTGTCAATGACTACAAATGGGCTAGTCCAATACTCTAGCAGATAACATTGCAGGGGTGTGAGGATCCAGCAGTGTCATTCACCTAAGATAATGTGCAATTATTAGAAATCACGATGATTATTCGCAATTATACTGTTCAAAACATCCTGGTAGATAATCATCATTTAATCATGTTAATAGTAATGAATGGGATTTGAGATTAATTACTCGGATATTTATCCATTCTATATTCAGAATGAAATATTTTAGAATAATTATTAACCTATTTACGTCATCAATTCACAAAAAATATAAATAATCTTGCAAGAATTAAAATCACAAAGATATAGTCCAAAATCTTTACATACATGAGTCTGATAGAGTATAAATGCCAGTATTTATTAAGCTGCATATTTTGTGGCTGTCATATTCAGTCTCAACCCTTGTCTTAATGGATCCATTGATAATATGGGGATTCTTTAGATAGAGACAACAGGCAGTTTTCAGTTTTATTTGATTGTTTTTACAAAATGGCCTTTGTTTTGAGAAACGTATTGTATCCATATTCCATTATAAAAAATCATAATTGTTCAATGTTTGTTAAATACTTTTTTGCTATTGTTTTCATTTGTTTCTAACCTGTTGTCAAAAATGCTAAAGAAACCTATGTTCAACACTTCAGGTAGCACAGTAAAACCTGCCAACATTAAGAACATCCTCCATTTGTCATACTATTCCTAGATTACAAGTCTTACTTACAAGGAGTCTTAGCATGTAAGTCAATGGGACACAGCTCTTTTGAAAACTGTTTTACGTTTCTTTTTGACTGAATGGTAGGTTTTACTTTACATATATCACAGTTTAGGTTTACATTGCTAAATACCTACTGCATGTCAAACTGAGGAAATGACAACCCAGCACCGGAAAAAGTTATTAACTTTAGTCATTTAATGTAACAAATGGCAGTTTCAAATGCATATGCTTTGTCAGTGTTTGAGCTCTTGTGAACTCTATATAAGTATTACAATGCTAATTTAGTCTCCATGGTAACATCACTTCTGAAACAATTGGAGAATTAGTTTTTTGATTAATATATCCTCTCAGTTTAATATTAACTGAGCAGGAAAAACTCTAAACTGTTTCACCAAATATGAGTTATTGGTTGAAATGCAAGTACAACTTGTAAATCCAAAATATCATAGTGAAACTTATTTTAAAACAACTAGTTTTGCGATGTTTTCCTTGATGTACCACAGTGAAATGAAAATGTTCAGTTCAAAATAAATGCCATTAACTGATGCCTGAGAAAATTGACTTGAATTAAATCATTCCTTCCTTATACAAACAATATCATGTCTCAAAAATTCAGTTCACCCATCTTTTATTTTTCCAAAAGTTCTATCTAAGACACATTTAAAATAGATTTTGCTGTAAAATATTTTGTCCCCATAGAACTTTGTCAGTTACTGTGGTCGGAAAATTTGATATTGGGGCTGGATGTCTTGACCATACATCCTCAAAGGAAGGATCAAGACATCCAGCCCAATTTCAAATTTCAATATAAGGATGTGTGAAATATTTTCTGTGATAGATGAACTTATGAGAGAATATGAATACTGTAAGATTCTGTAACATTAGATACTGTAACATTCTCATCTCCTTTCATTGTAATGAATAGTTATCACTCAACAAAACATCATCACAAATAAAATTGAAGTCAACAAATTTTCTGTAGTTTAAGACACAGTATTGTGTACCAGAAAAAGAAGACCCTACAAAATGTAAGGAAGCGATCAGACCCAAAACTTTTATCTACGAACATCTACAAGCTTTATCAATTCAAAGACTTATGACTTCAGAAAATTGAACATTTTTTCCTAACTTTTCTAGTACATACATGTATACAAAATGTCACAAAACATTTTAAGTGTCTTAACATCAAAATTACAGATGTTCAAATGATAAAATAAAATAATAAAAATAATTCATGACCCAACGCAGTCAGGAGAATTCTGTTTCGATTCTTTTCACCTTTGTTTAAACAGAATGACCTCATGAAAAGAGAATACATATTAGCCTATCTCAAACAGAAAATGAAAAGAACCGTTAAAAATTCAAATGTAGATCTTAGTTTTGACTGCTATATGTATTTATGCTTTTAAACTCTGAATAAAGAACTATATACTATAGTAGAAGACTAAAGAAAACACACACAAGAAATTTCAATTTATGACCTCAGTTATTCAATTTTAAGAAGTTTGGTTAGATATAGACACTTCCTTCTGACTGTGTTGTGACAAATAGCATGATTCTCAAACAATAGTCCTAAGATTCAATAGTTCATAGATAAGATATTTAGTTTCAGTTCTTAGAGTTGGACCTTCATATCTATTCAATCCATATATGGTAAACTGTACCAAGGATAAATGATGATGCTTGTGTCTAAAGCCGACAGTTCAAAACAGGAAGTGAAATTAATATTTTACAAATGTTTTTTATTATTATGATTTACTGCAAGTCAAGATAACTTCTCACATAACTGAATAATAAAAAGATCACATCAGAATGCATTCCTTGTAATGTTATATTTAGTCTTCTATAGTATATAAAATGCTTTATTTATATAAATCTAGCGTTGAAGTTTCTCACTTCAAGTTCTTTGCTGCCTCTTCACTTGTACGCCCTCCTAGCTTGGCGCGGAGCAGAGTCTTCAATCAATCACATCTTTCAGGAAGTCTTTTTTCATCCATCATAATCTTCGCATCTCCGAAGAGTCCCAAGAAGTCATGGAAACCGATGTTTTTCTCGTGTGACAATGAATCACAATTTATTCCATAAATTAGATCATGGAAACTTGTTTACATCGAAGTAAAAATCAATATTCAATTCTTTTTCTCTTTTGTCCACATACAGTTGTTTACGACTAGAAATATACCACTATAGGTAGGTCAGGTTAAATCCAGTTCAGGTAAATCAATAAAAAAATTCTGTTTTAGTCGGCTTAGATAGACTTATTGAATGTTTAAAATCCATATAGAGATGTGTTGAGTAGTGACTTGTTGTTTAAGTCATGTTGCATTTGTTACCCATGTCTGCTTGTGTTATTTATCTTGCTGCTAGGGTCATGGTTGCAAGAGCGCCTAAGCCAATCGCAGTAAACATCAGACCTTTCCAAACTTTGTTTTCAACATCATTCTCATCAGGGAAGTATTCAGAGAAAGCATCCTGGAAATATATTAATCAACAGAATATAGAATTTGAGTTTAATCACTTTACTGTATATAGAAAAATCAAAGGAATTTAGAATTTGATCAACTTTTTTAGAATTTGGGTTCGACCATTTCACCAAACATTTCCTTCTCTTGCAGTTATTTCTATGTGTGAAATAAACATTTGATCTTTTGAACATGTAAGGAATGTAAGTAAGTGAAAAACCAATCAACATTTTAAAATTTCATTAAATGATTGGAGGGGTCACACCATAACAAAATTAACTTTTTCATGACTATTAATATTGGACACCATCCTTAGTGGCACTACAGATTACAGTAAAACGTATCTAATGTGAACATCACCCAGACTAATCTAAATTGTTGAGAATAGCAGGTGTTCATATTTCAAGGTTTCTATGACAAGTCAATGGGCGATAACAAAATTAGGACTGAGAGAAAGTTTTAATATCGAAGAGTGAAGAGGTGTTTTATCAAAAAAACATGAATGGTTTAACCATAACATATTTGAAAGGTGAGCCATGAATGGTGAGCCACTGATGAAAAACAGTGTAATTAATAGTTTTAGAGAATACACCTAATGAAAGAAATATTTTTTGAAATATTTGGCACTCCTTCAGATTTTTGTTCAGACACAACTGAGGAGGAGGATGATGAAAATCAATGAAAGGCAGACAAATGTGAATTGTGACCTGGCATTTTATGTGTATCATGTGATTCAAAAGGAAATCAATAGCTTGAGATATTTCTGGCAATGATGAAATTGCACATCCATTATCCTCTAGTTGCCAAAACAGTACTGCTATATATATTTATACAATGAACTTTATTCTCAGGCAACTTTCAAGACTATTGAGGTCTAAAATCAATAATCCTTTCAAATACATCTAGTTGCCAAACAATAGGCTTTATAGACTGATAAATTGTACAAATAAAGGGCTGGGAGATTTTCAATTTTACTTCAGTGCATTCTGAATCATAAACAATCAGTTGGTCTTGAATGGGGTCAAAATTAAGCATCTAGAGAACGATTCATATTTTGGACTTTGAAATTCTTATAGATTAAAAGTAGATAACTAACAACAAGAGGTGATAAACATATGGTACTTCATACTAACTACCATTGAACAACCATATGTCATCATTAAAAAAATGTAGACACATTCACAAATTATTTGAGTTCTTGAATGAAAATTGCATCATCAGTAAAATCATCATTTTGTCCACTGATTAAGAGTTCATTTCAGTACAATCAAACTTACATTCAGTATGTTCAAACAAACATGACGTAACTGCTTAGATAAAATTGTCATAAATGAAGTGATTGATGGTTAAGTTTACATAAATAGGTAATTGAAATTTATAAATAAAGTTCACCAAAAACAAATGATTTGGACATTAAAAATAGAAAATGTTTGTTAGTTCAACACAATAAAACTTTCATGAACCCCCAAGACACGCCTAATGAGCAAATGATCACAATGTATATATGCGTGTGACAAGTCACAGACTCTACTGTAATACTGTATTTTGTTTCACATTTAAGATACAGCATGGGGCTGAGCATGTCTAAGAGTTTCTCATAGATTAACTTTTGGTTTCAACAAACAATTTTCTGGATAACTGTTCTAAAATCACTTTTTGTAAGGGGACTTTTTGGATCACAAACTGCTTCATGTTAACCAAGAATGCTCATTTAAGTCTGAACAATCTTCTTGGTAGTAGATACCGCAGTTTTTAATATTTCCATAGACTGTTATTTACCATGGGCTTTCAACAGATATTTACTAAATGGAGAAAATAAATTGTTTGTAATTTACAGGGTATTAATCTTGATCTTATTCAGCAAAAGAATTTTTAAGAAACTGTTCACAATAACCTAACCTGGTTGGTTACCATAGCAAACTAAGTATAGAGTTACAGGCAGCTACTTAAACTACTCAGTCAGAATATTCTAGGAATGATGAATTTTTGCCAACATTCTTGTCTAAATCTAATCTGGACCAGGATGCTGTCTGGATGGTAATGCTGTGATTCAAAACACTAAACATTCAGCAATAAGCATGTGTCTTGTTTCATTCCTTGTTTCCTGAATGCATATACACCAACACTAAGGATAGTTGTTTTCTAGCACCAAGACAAAACCCTGGTCATATCTCCGCCATCACATATCACAATATACACTTAGATGTAGAAGCGTTTCCTGTATATGTAGCCTATTACCTGGATCATTTTGTAGGTAACAGAATGTTGCATTTCCTCTTTTTGTTGCATAAATCATCACAATCATAAAACAAACTACTTGTGTCTGGATAAAAGATAAAAGCTATACATACCCATCCCCCATTTTCATTGATCCACTTTCCCAGCCGCACTGCGACATATCGACCCATGAATTCAGAAATTTTTGGCGTAAACTCGGTCATATCATTTTCAGTACAATGTTTCGCTATTCTTGCACCAAATGTATACACAGTAACAACTCTTCCCCAGTTAACTTGGCCATCCTCGAAGATTTCATCTGCAACATTGACAAATGTTTTGTAACCATTTTCTTGTGAAATGTCAAGTTTTTTCACCATTGCTTTGAATACAATGTCATGTTTTTGAGAAAGTTGGTCAACAGTTCTCCTCAGGGTTTGACAATGTCTATCTGGAGCTTTTGTTTCTTTTCTTTGTGCCACATATGATACAATGTCTTGGGCTAGGAGGCCGGCTTCTTTCTGGATTTCTTCGGGAGGAATATCCTCTTCATTCGTTTGTGTTCCAGCTGATTTTGATGAAATTTTTACAAACCCATTTGTTGCGGCCATTTTGTTGTTGATGTTGTTCTTCTCCGGGCTGAAACACTGTTCCTTTACCACTGATTTCAACGCCTTAGACTCTGATGCTTTAATCGGGACATTTTCAATTTCCATAATCACATACCCCTCTTGATGATCCCAAGGAGGAGACAGAATCCTAGTTCCTGTTTCTATTACAAATCCGAGATGAAAAGAAAGAATCGATGAGAAACCAAATTTTCTCGCGTCACTGTTTGTCTGTTCACTTCGGGTAAATAACTGAGTTCCGAATTAACCCGAACGATAATATCGATATCCGGAGATTCCAAATATGGAATAATGAACTTTGAACCCTCGGCAAGTGACATCACTTCTAAAAATAGCACATTCGAGTAGTCTCGGGAAAATCCGTCAATTTTACGAAGGAATGATGTCATTTTGCTGAACTGTGATTGGTTGTAAATATGGAAATCCCAAGTGCTACTCGGCGATGTACGTAATGAAAATATTTGATTCATTCTCATCTCAGTTTGTCAATTAGTCCAAGCGATTGAAACTACAACCAAAACTTATTGTATATATTATATTACTTTTAAATTAGTTTTCATATTAGTTTCGCCAAGAGATTTTCGGATGAGGTCGTGATTTGAAGAGATCGATATCAGAAGAAAACAGGAAGAAATATTGAATTGAAAGTTATCAGGATCGATTTGACTACAGTTCAATCACAAAAAGTAGGTACACAATAATTACAATTACATGTAGCTGTGTACAATATTTATTGTAATTTACATTATGTACATATGAAAAATACTAGATTTTGTATGTAACTTGTCAACCCGGTGTGAAAGAAATTATGGTCCCCTGGGGATTATGGTCCCCTTTCTAAACGGCCCTTATTGGCCCTGATTGTGTATAAGATAATAAGAGAAAGGGTTGTATTTAGGTCACCATATAAATCAATGGAGAGTCGGACCATAATTTGAGAGGACCTCCTACCCTTTTACACCGGGCTTGCAGGCCCGTAAGACACTTTTCTCCAAGGGTGGTGCGGATTTTAGCTTCCTAAAGAGAATATAAAATTGTCAATTTTTTTACCGCGTAAATCAAATCGCGTAAGACAGAGGGGGGGGGTCAGTTACTCCCTATATTGGTTTGGAATTAGCAAATGCAACATCCAAACGTTCCAATTGTTTTGTGGGGGGTATGAGTGGTCCACTCCCCCTAGAAAATTTTACGGTTTTGAGATGCTATTTGGTGCTTCCTGTGCACTTTCGAGGTGTAAGTTTCTAAGTTAGAAGTACGCCACCACCACAAGAATAAGAGATGAGTGAATAAAAAACCAAGCATTCAGGGGGGTCTGGGGGTTCTCCCCCAGGAAAATTTTGAAATTTGCTTGTATTTGGAGCGAATTTGGAACCATCTGGTACGCCTGTGCGTTATGAGTCAATAAGAAAAATGTGAATTTTTTTTCAAATTCTTTTGGGGTTGTCAAAGAGGATGAAGTTGGGTGGGGTGCCAGTAGGGGAGCAAGGGATGTCCCCCAGAAACATTGACCATATCAAGGTGCTATTTGATGATGTCTGAGCACTTAAAAAATGTCTGAGACAATACATGAAATACAGAATATTTATTTTGTTTTGTGGGGGATGTGAGGGGTAGCTAACTCTCCTAGAAAATTTTACAATTTAAAGATGATATTTGGTGCTTCTGGGCACTTTTAAAGGTATTAGTCAATAAAAACATTGAAAAACAATCACAATTTTTTCAAATTTTGGGGGTGTCAAAGAGGGGAGGGGGGAGAGGAGTGCCAGAGGGGGAGGTGGGGCTGGGGTGCCAGAGGGGGAGCAAGTGTTTGTCCCCCATATCAAAACATAGAAAATCACATTTTTTTGGGGGGAGGGTCAAGAGGGGGGGGGGGGGCAGAGGGGGGGGGGTTATGCAAGTGCAAGATGCAAGAGGGGGAGCAAGTCCCCCAGAAACACCAACTATATAAAAGAGCTATTTGATGATGTCTGGGTACTTTAAAAGTGTCTGAGACAAAACACTAAAATAAATTTAGAAATTTTCCATTGTTTTGTGGGGGGTGTGAGGGGTGGCCAATACCCCTAGAAAATTTTACAATTTTAAGATGCTATTTGGTGCTTTCTTTCAATTTTTTTTTTCAAATTTATTTTGGTGGGTAACAAAGGGGGGTGCGGTCGCACCCATCGCACCCCCCATCTGACGGCCCTGGCTTGTCAACTACACATGACGACTGTTCAAAACACTTTGATATCACAGGTGTGGTTCATCCATAGTAAAACTCTATAGACACCAGGGCTAATCGATATGGGTGATATAAAGTTCATCATTGCCTTATCAATATGGACACATACACTGTAGGTGTGCAGGCCCATAGTCAGGATTTACCAAGGGGCGCGGTTTTACCAAGGGGAGTTTTTGCCAAGGGGGGAGCTTTTCATCATCATCATCATCATTTGGATACACGATTGATCAATTTTACTGATCATTATATCACAGGCTTTTGACAGTTTTGGCAAAAAATCATGCCAAATGTGCTCATAATGGTGAAAGACTGCATGATTTTGAAGGAATTTCTGGCTTGGGGGAGGAAGCGGCGACTCCCTACGGGCCTGGTGTGACACTTCATTACTTTACATTTGTCACATACATATACATCTGAGGTTTTCTGATCCAACTCTCCAGTTCAGGGTAGCGCAGGTCAAAACCATTCCATGATTGTCTCAAAAACATTTTTCACACACTATACACATTTATTTGCAGAACCATGTGTGGATATCATACCAGGGAAGTAACCAACCTCAATGAGGTCTCACAGCGTGATATTTACAATGACATTATGTCTGAACTTGAAAAACAGAATGAGCAAGATACTCTGAATAATAACAATCGTACTGAGGTTCAGAAAAATATAGGACAGCAGCTCAGATCAATGGGGGACTGGTTTAACACAATAAGTCAGCAGACTCCTCATAACCGTCCAGGGGATATACCACAGCAATTTGATGAAGATGGGAGGGACCAGCGTAACAGGTAGATGCTCCATGAACACTTGACTGATGGATTCATGGAAACAACTGCAGGGATTTCCAACAGTTTGTAGCATCTACATCTGTCATATAATATATACTGTATGGGACCATATAGTATTAAAATATATACTTTGATATTCAAAGTGAAGATATGTAGTCCAAAACAGGACAAATGTACAGTATGCATACATGTACACATTCTTGTAGTTTATAACTAATGCTGACACTTAACATCATCAGATTTGATGTGTATACACAATATATGTAACCATGGCAACGGGACATTGAAGCAACAAATTGAAATCTGTCCAATCAGAACGTGCATTTTACATCACATGTATTGTATTATGATATATATACAAGTACACTGAAAGCTATTTATTGTACCCATGATAACACCGAAACAGTTGCCTTAATTTGACTTTGCGATTTAAAAAACAGGCCAAGCTTGCAAGTAGAGTTGGCGGGAAATCTTCACATTTCGCCTTTCAAAAGCTGATGGAGTTTCAATGAATGAAGAACCAATTGTAACAAACTTTTTATACACTGAATATCTAAGTATAAAATTCAAGTCGATATGTATAAAATTTCTCACATTTTGGGAGGTTATGTAAAACTGTCTCATCTTAATTTGATTAAGATCATATGGTGAAATTGATTGGTTAAACATATTTCCTCATCATCATACATAGACCATACATTTATTTCATTATTTAATGGAATTTGCTTTCTGTAGTTAGTAATAATGATATGAAACCAGGAAGTGAAACACAAAGGCGGTTGTATTGACAATCAAAAGTGAAACCATACATGTTCATTAAATCCCCTAATTATATTTCTTAGTATTGAGATGAACTGAGAATATGCAATTAGGCATACATGTATTGTTCCATGAAACTGATTTATACAGTGCTCAGATTGACCTCAGGTTGAATCATTGAATGTAATTATTGTTAAATCGACTAAACATTAAACTGTTGTATTATTTTCATGTCATCCATGATTTATTCATATGATAGTCATAATGTATAAATTCACGAATCGATACACAGATACTGTCTAATACATGTAGAAACAGTAAGAGTCCTGCCACATTTCACCGATTTATGTACAGAGGTTCAAATCCAGATTTGCTACCTGTATATATTTATTGTCACTATACATGTTGTTCAATGGAGAATAAAAAAGAACAATTGTCTCAAAGAAATATTTATTTTTGAGTACTGAGTTGTTAAAAAAAAAGTTTAGGAAAACAATGACAGTCCACCTGATCTTCACAACATTGATCGCCCCACACCCAGTTGAAGAATTATTTGTGCCCATATGAGAATTTGAAAAATTATGTTTTTTAGAATATGAATTACTGATACATTGCCCAGTTTGTGCTCATTATTTAATCCCCCAAAAATACCCACAGAATGTCCTTGATAGGTCAGTTGGGTACTTCAGTGAAGAGCCAAAACACATAATCATGAAAACAGTCTATCAATATTTGTGTTTAATCAAATAACCAATTTTCAATAACAATTATTTAAAGATTATTATCCTTTATTACATTCATAGATTTGTTGCTTAATTTGCAGAAAAAGTACCCAGCAAATTGGCAAATCAATAGGGATTTCCCTAAATAGTACCCAGCAAATTGACAAATCAATAGGGATTTCCCTGAAAAGTACCCAGCAAACTGACAAATCGATAGGGATTTCCCTAAAAAGAAGAAATAATACACTCAAAGGGCTCAGAGAAACTGATTGAGATTTTCAGTATACATGTATCTTTGTTCCATTTGAAAGACAGGTTTTCAATTTTAATCCAATAGTGAAGAACGAATCAACAACTAACCTTAATATTAATAATACAAAACATAAGATTGCAGTACATATTTCATAAAATAATGTACATTCACATTGCTAGTTTTCATCAAGAGGGTATCATGTTTTAAGTTTTCGGGAGAAGACTTAGACGTCACAAATTTTGCCAATAATTTATCAATTTTGCAGAAATTTTGACAAAAATACAAAATTCTTGAAAATTGCCTGGGAGGTTGAATCTGTAGCAGCAGGTAGTTTTATATTCTGGGGAACTTAGTCCATAATATTAAGATGATCTTTCTCATGGGTACATACTGATGCATCCCATGCAATGTACATTTGATTGAGTAAAACCGTTCAACGTAATGTACTCAAGCTTCAACATTTTGCTGTTATAAATCCTGTTTAAGTCAGTCCATTATCTCAGACAAAAAGGACTATTCACTAGTTTTGGCGTATCCCAAAACCTAAACACTGAACACACTATATGCTGCTAAGATTTGAGAAAACTGATTCCCAAAACAATAATCCAATTGAATCCATCATACTTGAGCATTAGTGACTCCTGCTATTGCTTTGCATTTGTACTCTGTAATAACAGCTTACAGATCTGAGTTAATCCAATTAAATTGACATCAATATGGCCTCAGAGAGTTCTAACGCTAGGAATCCTCAGAGAAATTAGTCCGCAATGGGACTATATTTTGTGTTATATCCCTGAACTGTTCAGACTTGAGTGCATTGGCTGCATGTGTGAGTTGTAGTGCTGCATCAGGATGGGAGCTGCCAGGAAGGCAGGTACATTCTCGCTCCAACATCAGGGCCACTGACTTTAGTAAGGCTGTGAAACCATATGATAAAGCTGCTCTACGTAGTCTATTCAGCTCCTGAAATATGCACTTTGATTAATTGTGTTAATTGTGCATGTACAGTAAAACCTGTATAATCTCAACACAACTGTAACCACACAAAAGTGTTCAGATGAGCAGGTGTTCAGGTTTCAAGTTTCTTAATATTTGAGTCAATGGGAGTTAACAGAATAGGGATTTAATTGGAAAAGTTCACATCGAGTGTTTTCAGATTAAAAACCTGTTCAGATATCACAGGTTTTGCTGTGATTGCGTATATTGGCTAGAATCAACAGTTTGTACATGTATGATATCTAAAAGTTACTTTCAGAATTTCTAAGCTTGGATTATATTTTTTCTATCTCCTGTAAAGTGCTATGAAGTTTCAAGTTTGGATAATAGGATGATTCTAGTCTGTTTAGGTATCATCAGTATCATTATGTTTCAAAGGTTAGTCATACCTTGTAAAAGTGTTGTTGTTTCTCTGGCAGCTTCCTGGCATGTCTGAGCATTTTCTGTATATCAGCCTAGAATATAACCACAGTATGATAATCAGGTTGCAAATCTGACAATTAAAACATTTCATGCAGATAAGTAAGTGCTGTTTTTGTGTGTGGGAGGCCACAGTACATGTAGTTCATATTACTCTGAATCCCATCAACTGGCCACACTACCCTCTTACTTTGACAGAGGATTTGACAGTATTTTCGCTGACAAAATCTAAATAATCTCAAAAGCCACTTTTATGGCCTTTCGTTGAATTTAAATATGAAATGAATGTAAACTATGTGTTCTAAAGGCAGAAAATATAGTGGCATGATTATGAAATGTGTAAGTATGCCAGAAAACAAACTTTGTACTTAGTAATTTTTGGTGATTGCCAAAATCAGAGAGAATTAGAATACACACTATACCTGTACACCAGAGGCTTTTAACCAGACCACACAGTTATTTGCATAGCTCCTCTTCTCCTTGGGCCTCACAGGGAATGGGGACTTGTTGTCATCTTCCCCATAGGGAGGCTCAGGGAAGTCAGTAGCTGGTGCTAACATATCCATGTTTCCTAGCCAAGGAAGGCAGTATTTACCTACAAGGAAATGGGATTTAGATCTGTAATAATCTGTTGATCCCTATAGAATCGTATGAATTCAAGTCAATCTAAGCCGAAATCCTTCAATTGCTGCATCGTGATTCATTGTTGTGTTACAAAAACCTAACTTTTCTACCAATTCATTGTCATGGTTAGGGTCAACATTTTTTCCAGAGCTGACCATCAAATTCCAACTCCTGTTGATCAATTAAAAACAGTTACAGATATGAAGCCCCCAACAATGTTTCTTGTTTGACTTGAGTTGAGGGAAAATTAATATTTGTGCCAGCATGGAGATTTATAAGCCTCACCGATGAACGATTTTCATGGTCATTTTATCTTTCAAGTTATAATAAGCTAAGGTCAACTGGGACCAGCTGACTGGGACTCTATAAGAGATGCCTTTAACAATTCTGAATTCCTCTTGCCAAGTATAAATTGAATGCATATGTCTGATAACAGTAATATTGTGAGGATTATAGGAAGTATTTTGTACCTGGTTCATATATAGTCAACATCAGATTAGATTTCTTCCTATTGTCAGCAAATGAGTAGAGCATTCCATACCAATCTTCCCTGAAAACATGTAAATACAAAACAATGAACCCTGCCTATCAGTAGGTTTGCACATCAATAGCAAATGAGTAGAGCATTCCATACCAATCTTCCCTGAAAACATGTAAATACAAAACAATGAACCCTGCCTATCAGTAGGTTTGCACATCAATAGCAAATGAGTAGAGCATTCCATACCAATCTTCCCTGAAAACATGTAAATACAATACAATACAATACACATTGCCTATCAGTAGGTTTGCACATCAACAGCAAAAGAGTAGAGCATTCCATACCAATCTTCCCTGAAAACATGTAAATACAATACAATACACCTTGCCTATCAGTAGGTTTGCACATCAACAGCAAATGAGTAGAGCATTCCATACCAATCTTCCCTGAAAACATGTAAATACAATACAATACACCTTGCCTATCAGTAGGTTTGCACATCAACAGCAAAAGAGTAGAGCATTCCATACCAATCTTCCCTGAAAACATGTAAATACAATACAATACACCTTGCCTATCAGTAGGTTTGCACATCAACAGCAAAAGAGTAGAGCATTCCATACCAATCTTCCCTGAAAACATGTAAATACAATACAATACACCTTGCCTATCAGTTGGTTTGCACATCAACAGCAAAAGAGTAGAGCATTCCATACCAATCTTACCTGAAAACATGTAAATACAATACAATACACCTTGCCTATCAGTAGGTTTGCACATCAACAGCAAATGAGTAGAGCATTCCATACCAATCTTCCCTGAAAACATGTAAATACGAGGGGTGATCAATAAGTAATTGACGCTTTTTTACACAGATACTTTTTATAGACCAATCAATCCCTTTAATTTTCCCACCAGTTATACGTCATTCAATTATCTATCAATTCTGAAGATTTGAAGACAAAATATATATTATATATGTTGATATATCCTTATTTCCATGAAGAAGATAAATGTTACCTGGGACCGACGTAACGTCACATATTCAGTTTTTAGCCAGTTTGGCAAATTTTTTGCTGACTGGTAACACATAAACAGAAAGTATTGTGATGTCAGAGAGTTGTATGGAAGGGGTTTGCAGGTCAATTTGAGTAAGCATTGTGGAAGAAAGGGTTGGTGAGAGAAGGAAACACCCTACTCCATATGGACAATGCACCTGCCCACAGATCTCAAAGTGTTCAGAAAACAATATCCCTGGACCTCAAAATTGAGCCCATGGCCAATGCACCATATTGTCCAGATCTGCTCACATGTGACTTATTTATTTCTATACTACTTATTTCTATAGAGAAAGAACGCAGGTTTATTGCCATTGATGAAATAAAACAACCCGTGCAACTGGATCTTGCTACCATGTCAGAGAATGGATCAATCTTGAGTTCAGAGGATGAGGAATTGTGTACATGTAGCACTTGATGGAATCTATGTAGAGGGCCCTGTGGAATGAATGTGGCATGAATACCACATAGTGATGATAAAATGTTCAAAATCAACTATGGCATAACAAAATGGGGTAATTCATGACCATAATGGTTTGTTTTGTTCAGCCTGGATTCAACTGCATTGCATGTTAAACAAGCTAAAATAGCTTCAGAATGTTTGACGTCATGTTGGTCCCGGGATACCTAGAGATCCTTCACGGAAATAAAGATATATCAAAATATATTACATGTTTTGTTTTCAAATCTTCAGAGTTGATAGATAATTGAATGATCTATCACTGGTAAGACAAGGCATTAACATGACAAAATGTCACCACCTAAAACAATTTGGTCAATTTAAAGCAAGTTGGAAAATACCTTTTGACCTTGAGAAGGTCATTGAAGGTCAAAGGTCAAATCTAAAGTCAGATTTGAACTTCTGAGAACTTGTAAAGTCAAATTTGAACTTCTGAAAAGATGTAGATGATTTTGAAAAAAAAATTTGGTCAATTTGAAGCAAGTTGAAAACAGACCTTTTTGACTTTTTTTGACCTTGAGAAGGTCATTAAAGGTCAAATGTCAAATCTAAAGTCAGATTTGAATTTCTGAGAACATGTAGATGATTTTGAAAAAAAAATTAGTCAATTTGAAGCAAGTTGAAAAAGACCTTTTTGACCTTTTTTGACCTTGAGAAGGTCATTGAAGGTCAAATGTCAAATCTAAAGTCATATTTGAATTTCTGAGAACATGTAGATGATTTTGAAAAAAAAATTTAGTCAATTTGAAGCAAGATGAAAAAATACCTTTTTGACATTGGGAAGGTCATTGAAGGTCAAATGTCAAATCTTAAGTCAAATCTTAAGTCAGATTTGAATTTCTGAGAACATGTAGATGATTTTGAAAAAAAAATTTAGTCAATTTGAAGCAAGTTGAAAAAAGACCTTTTTGACCTTTTTTGACTTTGGGAAGGTCATTGAAGGTCAAATGTCAAATCTAAAGTCAGATTTGAATTTCTGAGAACATGTGGATGATTTTGAAAAAAAAATTTAGTCAATTTGAAGCAAGTTGAAAAAAGACCTTTTTGACCTTTTTTGACTTTGAGAAGGTCATTGAAGGTCAAATGTCAAATCTTAAGTCAAATCTAAAGTCAGATTTGAATTTCTGAGAACACGTAGATGATTTTGAAATTTTTTTTAGTCAATTTGAAGCAAGTTGAAAACAGACCTTTTTGACCTTTTTTGACCTTGAGAAGGTCAAACGTCAAATCTTAAGTCAGATTTGAATTTCTGAGAACACGTAGATGATTTTGAAAATTTTTTTTAGTCAATTTGAAGCAAGTTGAAAACATACCTTTTTGACCTTTTTTGACCTTTAGAAGGTCATTGAAGGTCAAATGTCAAATCTAAAGTCAGATTTGAAGGTCAAATGTCAAATCTAAAGTCAGATTTGAATTTCTGAGAACATGTAGATGATTTTGAAAAAAAATTTAGTCAATGTGAAGCAAGTTGAAAAAAGACCTTTTTGACCTTGAGAAGGTCATTGAAGGTCAAATGTCAAATCTAAAGTCAGATTTGAACTTCTGAGAACATGTAGATGATTTAGAAAAAAATTGAAGTCAGTCTAAACAGTATTTGTTAAGTTATAGGAAGTTGTAAGAAATTGTTACAGACGCCGGACGCCAACCTCCAACCACCAACCGCCAACCACCAACCGCCGTCGCAAAAAAACGGAGACCATAACAATATGTCACCACTTTTGGTGGTGACATAAAAATCGAAGGGATTGGTCTATAAAAAGCATCTGTGTAAAAAAGCATCCATTACTTATTGATCACCCCTCGTACAATACAATGCACCCTGCCCATCAGTAGGTTTACAATAAAATGATACTTTGAAAATCCTCTTTTGAGGAAGACATGTTCCCATATTGCATATTTCTTAAAAGTAAGAATAATATAGGAGTAATGCCAATTGAATTATTAGGCAGAGTCATTCTTATTTACATATATGTATATATCAAACAAACTTTATTATATTGGAGAGTTATAGTTATCCATCAAGAGTATAGCATAGCATACCCTATCTGTGTTAAGGCAATCATACTGTGCACTTTGAATATAGCATAACATACCCTATCTGTGTTAAGGCAATCATACTGTGCACTTTGAATATAACATAACATACCCTATCTGTGTTAAGGCAATCATACTGTGCACTTTGAATATAGCATAACATAACCTTTCTGTGTTAAGGCAATCATACTGTGCACTTTGAATATAACATAACATACCCTATCTGTGTTAAGGCAATCATACTGTGCACTTTGAATATAGCATAACATACCCTATCTGTGTTAAGGCAATCATACTGTGCACTTTGAATATAGCATAACATACCCTATCTGTGTTAAGGCAATCATACTGTGCACTTTGAATATAGCATAACATACCCTATCTGTGTTAAGGCAATCATACTGTGCACTTTGAGAGCACCATGAAGCAGTACTGTGAAAGATGGGGTCTTGAATTCATCAGTTTCTTCCTCATCTTCTTTAATGTCCTTGTTTTCTTTCTCTCCATTTGGTTGACTTTCATCTTCTAAAATGCATGCAAATTATGAACTACCATATTATGAATTAGGCAAATCATTAGATGTCAAATAAACTGGGCACAAAATGAAACAGAGTAAATTAACAAATTATACAACTTCTTAAATACTTTGTCATTCTTTCCTAATATTGAGAGGCCATTGACATCAAACATTGGCATGACTAAAATCACAACAGCTAAATCAATTCCAAATCAATGTATTCCTAGTGATTACCTTTAGTGGGTGGATTGGGGAGAACCAAATGCCTCGATAAACCTGCGGGGCTTGCAACATCTTGGATGTCAACAAAGCCTAATATTTGGAGATCATTTGAAACACTCTTCTTAAGAGATTGCCTGAAATGTTAAAGTATTCAACAATAACCAACATTACACTTCATTGTACTACATTGCTACTTTGGCAGAAATGATGCTCCCCAAGGTAATATTGCCCCCTCGTATAAATTTGTGACCATTATTTGCCTTGATTAAGTATCAGGAACTATGTAAAGGTTTTAAGTGTTATTATCATATTGTTTTTTTAATTGTTTGTTTGTACACGTTGATCTTTTTATAATTGCATGAATGTATCTCCTTTTTATAAAGGGCAATAAATATATACATACATACACATGACTGACCAAAGATTCTGAAGACGTGAATAGGTACATCCGTATTACTATTTGAAGTACTGTATATTGATATTCAAATGTATGTGAGAATTTCTATCAAGAACTTACATTTTGTAATCTTCTGGTGCTGGGAACAATTGAACTTTACATTTAAGGTTCCCACAATTCAACACTGCATTAAATGGACTGAAATATTTCTCTGCAAGCTGAGAAAATAGCTGTTGTATTGATGTTATATTCAGACTGCCTTCTGGTACGAACACACCTCCCTTGCCTCCATTAAGGTCTATGAGTCTATTATAGAGAGGCAATGAGGCTGAAACACTTGGTTCCTCCTGTGATCCAACACAGCAGATGTGTAGTTTGGATGGGAAGGGGAAAGGCAGGGGGAATTTAGTGTCTCTGTATTGAATATGGTGTTTTAGAGAGTCACTCCCAGTACCAGTGCTGCCATCTGTTATCAAAACAATCTGAAACAGTAATGAATTAAAATAACCTCTTTCCCAGGAGAATGGAGAGAATGGTAGGATAACTGACAATGTTTGTTTTGACAATTTTATTTTGTAGCCAAAATCAAACCAGTAACAAGGCATTAACATGCATAACGTCACAACCTACCATTTGTTTCAAAATTGAACAGCTATAACAAAAATTGGAATCTGAATAAAAGTAGGCTAAATTATGTGCACACTTAAATGTATTTCAAGCTACCTTTAAACACCCTATATGAAGACTGTGCTATATAAAAAAAAGCAGTGTGGATATCATGTGCATACGGTGCCGATATTAAAGGTCATTTTTTGATTTGAATTCATGATATTTCACAATCTCAGGCATGCTGGGTACTCAATTATATTCATACATGTGTACAGGATCCCTAATAAAAAGGAAATTGTGAAAATAGGTGTGTACTTTATTCTATACTGACATCAAGCGATAATATTCTCTCCAAAGCAAATGATTTGAAAACAATAAACAAAAATGTGCTACCTCTAAGCAAGCTGTGGGGGTATTCATAAAGTGACGATATCGACACTGCTTGTTTAGAGGTAGCACATATCGGATCAATGTTTTTTAAAAAGTTTATGACTTTCAAAATGCAAAAACAATTTATATCAATGGGTCATCTCTATCACCAATACTGAATGAAGGCTGTCAATGGTGTATCAAAGCAGAATTTCAAATTATTTGCTATGGAGAAAGCATGAATGCTAAGTGTGTCGTTAAAGAATAAAGGACAAAACAATAGACAAAATTTCTCTTTTATTAGGTATCCTCTATAAATGGGTGAATATAATCGAGGACCCAATATGCCTTAGTTAATGAAATATCATAACTTCAAATTCAAAAATGACCATTAATATCCACACTGTGTGCACGCAATATCTGCACCGCCTGTTTTTGTATAGCACAGTCTGTATAGGGTGTTAAAACAAAATCTTGGAACAGTAACAAAAAAATGAATGACCCATATGAACATTGAACGAACCACAACCTTGAGTTACATGTAAAATGTGGTAACAGATAAATCCTTTGGAATAAAGTAATTTAACCCTGCTGTGTTACAGATACCATAGGTTGTTTCTTTACCTGACAAGGTGCATTTGTACCCCATTCCTCAGTAACCACTTGTAAGACACCTTGTAAGCCATTGCATACATTAGTTTTGTCATAGTCATCTAACTTGGTCAAGGCAGATTTAATACTGTCAACATCTCTGGTGAAATTTACAACTTGCTCCCATTGAGAAGAAAATATCATCTGAAATCAAAAAGTGCATTTTGGGCTACAGTCTCTGGAAATCTTAGATAAAGATGAACTCTTAATAAGTCAAAATGGCAATGGATCTGGTAGAAAGTGTTGGGAATAGCAGGTATTCACATTTCAAGGACTTACGTCTTTTTAACATGGGACTCATTGGGAATAGCAGGTATTCACATTTCAAGGACTTAGGAGGTCTTTTTAACATGGGACTCAATCTCACTTTTAATATACTGTACTTCCATAGAACTATTGAAATGTTACAGCTTTTATATTCATGAATTTTCAGAAACTCGTGAAAAGCACAAATAAACTTAACACGCAAAATTACTGTGAGTACAGTATGACACCATCACTTCAAATATTCTTCATATAAAGTAATTGGCATGAAAAGTTCCAAGATTCTCCACTCTACAATGTCAGTATCAGTGAGTATTATTCAATGACTTACCAAAGATATAAACTCTAACTTAGAATGAGTGGTGATATGATCGAGAAGTGTATTGATGCCTTGGATTGCCAGATGGCGCCTCTGGTACTCTTCATTTGTGTCAGGAATGTTTACTGGGCGTGTCATTGACAAAGAGACATCTAGCAATATTATTGTAGGCATGTTGACTCAGACTTCTAAAACAAATGATTACATGTACATGTATTACATATAAGAGTAATTTAAACCTTAAACAAGTTACAAACTTAGGTCCAAAGCCTTCTCTTTATTCTGGCTCCGAGTGAGCTGCCCTGGAAATTCAATATTTGTTACACACGTTGTTGTTGACACACGCACAGTTGTTACGGTATAATTATATGAAACATACCTTTATGCATACATTTGCAGAATATCAGCTCATATCCCCGTCTATTAATCGATTGTTATATATATTTTAATTTAGCTAAGTGGAGAAGGAACTCGAGTAAGGTGTACTTACTCGAGTCTCTACTGTAGCTTACAGCTAGATGTAACTTCATTGATTTCATATGCAATCTAGAAAAAGTGTGACACGCATCTACAGAACTCCTATTTAATAATTCTTATATTAATCATATTGACAGCACAAAGAGATAGCAAAGAGATAACAAAGTGACAGCACCAAGAGATATAGCAACCTAGTGATAAACCAGCACAGAGAGACTATTAGGAGACATAAGGATACCAACAACAACATATTTAAGTTGAAGCGTTGCTTGTCTGGATCAAGATATTTCAAAATTTCTTTTCGGAAAGAACCTCAAACTCAACAGATCCGCCATTTATACAGCTCACTCAGAAGAAAAATGGAGGCTATTTTGAAATGAAATTCCACTTAGCTAAATTAAAATATATATAATAATCGATTAGAACGGGGATATAAGCTGATATTCTGCAAATGTTTACATAAAGGTATGTTTCATATAATTGTGCCATAACAACTGTGCGTGTGTTACCATGATTTACAAATATTGAATATCAGGGCGGCTGTAAACAATCACTCAAAGCAAGAATATAGAGAAGGATTTGGACCTAAGTAAGGTGTAACCATCACCCTCATCATCAGCTCATTTCATTCAATGATAAATATCACAGAGAACTATTTACATGCTTTTTAAGTATCTTTAGCAGAATAAAACAAACGATAAAATCATATGTAAATAGTTCTCTGTTATTTTTGTAGTCATCACTAAAATCAGTATACGTTTACAAACTTCAATACAAGGACAGAGTACTCACATATCCTGCGGTATAGTTTTTATTGCAGTGGTAAATTTTATTGAGAATATAAAGGCAAAAACCCCAAGAAATGTCCAATTCAAGTTTCGTTCGCATCGTCCACCATTTTAGTACTTCCCCATAAAATAATCACGTGACAGGTATAGGGAGACACCATTTTGACACACTTCGTTCGGTGCGTTCATTCCCGGGGATCAATCAAATAGGGGATTCACCAGGGCTCACCAGGAATAGCGTTAAGTTAGTTGCATCATGGGCTTTCAATTCTAGTTGAAAGCCCACGGTTGCATGTATCGTTAAGGGATTAGATGGGTTTCGGACTATTGGGATTCGGACCATTGGGATTTTTTCAGACCATTCAGATGCGGATGATTAAGTTTCTAATTTAAGCCCATGGTACCACTATAAAAGTTTACAATTGAATTACTAAATGAATAGGCACACACCACGGGGAAATATGTTAGGTCTTCTAGGATTTATTTTGAAACGATGGGATTCTAAGAAAAAAGGCCCAGCGTCCCTCAACGTGCAAAACTGATTAATGCTTTTGCTATAAACCAGGCAACAATGTGGTCTACACGACCTGTAAATACTAGTACTTGACTACTTGTAAGTGACGTTGGTTTTGTAAAGGTACAGTGTATGGTGTTTAAACTGCTTCTTTATTCGGTACATTAAACATTCCATAAATAACAAATAAAACAAACAATTTACCAAACCTTTACCCAATCTATCGAATGTTTTTTATTTTATCGAATGTAATAATCTGTACAATTTATATTCGCTAAATCGTTTCACTTGTTCTTTGTGTTGGCATTTACATTTGATATTTATACACAGTGTACATGTATTTGTGTGATGCAGCGAATCTATTTGTTTTCCTCACGCACGTATGATTTAATTAATTTTTTGTACATTCGGTATTTACATTATTTATATTCGGTAAAAACCGAATGCCACATTCGATAAATTTCGTTATTATTCGATACTTTAAGAGACTTTCAGTTACGTGATATATTTGAACGATGTAGAATAGCTGCGCGGCTTGCAAATCTCGAGGTCACGTGACAGAATATCGAACAACAACGAAAGTTATCGAATATTACTTTATTGCATTCGGTAAATAGCAAATTAGCTTTCGGTAAAATGCATCAACTATGTCATAGAAAAATAAACCATTTGGTAAATATAGGCAAACTTATTTCGGTAGGGTTCAAATAGAAATTCGATATTGTGCCTATAATGTGTTACTCTTGAGGAATACCATAACAATTTACGCAAAAACATATCATTTAGCGAATGAAATATGTAATTTAATGCACATGGTATTAAGTGATTGGCTATTTTGAAAACTTAATTTGCTTTAACAAACATATAAACGTTTATACCGAATGGAAAAATGATTTAGCGAATATAAATATTTCCTATACAGAATATATTTGACGACTTGACTTACTCCAAATGTTACTGAGTTACTGAGTATTTCAAATACACGAATTTCCACCTTAAAGACATATTACTACGACACCCCCCCACCCTCCGTTTACCCCCCCCCCTCCCCCTTCCGTTCAATTCTAATTTTTTTTTATCTAACACATGGTAACTTATTTTTTAAAGAACAGTAATGACATTAATTTTTTGAGAAAAACGTAACCTAAAGTATTTATTACGTAATTATGTCTGATATCCCTAAACTCTAGGGCTTTCCCTCCTCTTGGGGGAAGTGACGAGCAAAGGTTTTGGGCCGATATAAAGATGGCAGCTGCGGTAGAATCTTATTTACCCTTTCTCTCTAGAGAAGAGTTGTCCGCGAGAGATGTATAAACAAACACAGATTGATTGTTTTTTTATTTAAAATGTTATGAAAATCTCAGATAAACATGTCTCCTTTAATCGTTTTTGATAGTAAGTTGATTAACTTACCTTTGTTTCTGCAGGTATAATAAAGGTATTTGCAGATGTAATAAAGGTATTTGCAGGTACAGTATATTTAAGGTATAAGCAGGTATATTAAATGTATTTGTAGGTATAATAAAGGTATTTGCAGGTATAATAAGTGTATTTGCAGGCATAATAAAGGTATTTGTAGGTATAATAAAGATATTTGCAGGTACAATAAAGGTATTTGCAGGAATAATAAAGGTATTTGCAGGTATAATAAATGTATTTGCAGGCATAATAAAGGTATTTGTAGGCATAATAAAGATATTTGCAGGTATGATAAAGATATTTGCAGGTATAATAAATGTATTTGCAGGTGTAATAAAGGTATTTGCAGGAATAATAAAGGTATTTGCAGGTATATTTAAGGTATAAGCAGGTATATTAAATGTATTTGTAGGTATAATAAAGGTATTTGCAGGTATAATAAATGTATTAAAAGGCATAATAAAGGCATTTGTAGGTATAATAAAGATATTTGCAGGTATGATAAATATATTTGCAGGTGTAATAAAGGTATTTGCAGGAATAATAAAGGTATTTGCAGGTATATTTAAGGTATAAACAGGTATATTAAATGTATTTGTAGGTATAATAAAGGTATTTGCAGGTATAATGAATGTATTTGCAGGTATAATAAAGGTATTTGCAGGTACAATAAAGGTATAATAAAGGTATTTGCAGGTATAATAAAGGTATTTGCATGAATAGTAAAGGTATTTGCATGAATAGTAAAAGTATTTGCAGGTATAATAAAGGTATTTGCATGAATAGTAAAGGTATTTGCATGAATAGTAAAAGTATTTGCAGGTATAATAAAGGTATTTGCAGGTACAATAAAGGTATAATAAAGGTATTTGCAGGTATAATAAAGGTATTTGCATGAATAGTAAAGGTATTTGCATGAATAGTAAAAGTATTTGCAGGTATAATAAAGGTATTTGCATGAATAGTAAAGGTATTTGCATGAATAGTAAAAGTATTTGCAGGTATAATAAAGGTATTTGCATGAATAGTAAAGGTATTTGCATGAATAGTAAAAGTATTTGCAGGTATAATAAAGGTATTTGCAGGTACAAACAAGAACACAAATGTGTACAATATGTCCCCACCAATGGGTGATCCCATGAAATGGTTATCCTGAAAATGAGTAGACAAGACTTTACTGACACAATTTGAGGACGGAAAGTCCAAAATGGCCGCCTTAAAATTTACCCAGAATCCCCAAAAATTAGCTAGTTCTAGATTTTCATACTAAGAACCACCCCTGAAAATATGAAATTGATCCGTCAAACAGTTAAACAAGACTTTACATACAAGATTTTAGGATGGAAAATCCAAAATGGCTGCCTTGACATTTACCCAGAATGTCAAAAAACTAATCAGTTCTAGATTTTCATACTAAGAATCATCCCTGAAAATTTGAAATTGATCTACCAAACGGTTCACCTGATAACGCGTAGACAAGACTTTACAGACAAGATTTTAGGACAGAAAATCCAAAATGGCTGCCTAGACATTTACCCAGAATGCCAAAAAACTGATCAGATCTAGGTTTTCATACTAAGAATCATCCCTGAAAATTTGAAATTGATCTAACAAACGGTTCACCTGGAAATGCGTAGACAAGACTTTACAGACAAGATTTTAGGACGGAAAATCCAAAATGGCTGCCTTGACATTTACCCAGAACGCCAAAAAAACTAATCAGATCTAGATTTTCATACTAAGAATCATCCCTGAAAATTTTAAATTGATCTACAAAACGGTTCACCTGGAAATGCGTAGACAAGACTTTACAGACAAGATTTTAGGACAGAAAATCCAAAATGGCTGCCTTGACATTTACCCAGAACGCCAAAAAACTAATCAGATCTAGATTTTCATACTAAGATTCATCCCTGAAAATTTGAAATTGATCTACCAAACGGTTCACCTGAAAACGTGTAGACAAGACTTTACAGACAAGATTTTAGGACGGAAAAAAACAAAATGGCCGACAATAAAAAAGTGATTATGAGTTTTTGCTGATTTCCTTTTACAAAATTATCACATATAACTACTGTTAACAATAACATAGGCTTTTTCAACAAAGTACACCTGGAATTATTTATAAAGCTACTAAATAGTTAAAGTATGAAAACTCAAAAACACCATTCAATATGATACAAAGTATTATCGCGCGCTAACTTTTCTTCAGACATTCAAAATGGCTGACATGACTGGGCTAACAGGTCCAAAACCTAATCAGATGTAGAATGAAGTGAGCTGAACAAGATGTTAAAGTTTTAAAAGCAACTGTGAAGCCGTTTTTCTTAAAGTTTGCAGACAAGGATTTTAGCATTTGACCTCAAAATGGCCGACAGGAAGTAGCTATCGAGTTAATTTTTTTTCATCCACATCTGTATGCACTTACAAGTTATTCCTGAAAATTTGAAGGTGATACCTGTAGCGGTTTTGGAGAAAACTCCCGGACGTACGGACGGACAGACAGACAACCAGACAGACGGACGGACGCGCCTAGGACGACAATATGGCCCCACACTATGTGGTGGGGACATAAAAAAGTAAATGAAGGTAAACGGTATTTATACAGCTTTATATAAATATATCACAAACGGCTAAACGCGTATATTCATTGATTAACATAATATTTCTTATTCTTGTGGACTATGAAGGACTCTCCGTCATTTTTATAGAGATGATCCTTATATGAGGTCAAAATGTACTTCATGAGGTCCAAATAAATCAGGGATTAATACGTTATTTTAGAATGTATAAGATTTCGTAAGATAATATTAGAAAATATAAAAAATCAATGCGCCAGTACACGAAACCGAGCACATTTGCTCAATTTTTTAAATCCAAGTTAGATAAATTAAATACTGCATAATTTGTTTATTTATCTATCTATTCATTTATTTATTTTCTTTTACATTTGTGCGACAGATCGGACAAATTAATTGTTCAAATAAAAACAACTTTGCTAGTCACTTGCAAAACGCTCCAGTAATACGTTGAACTCAACCACTCTGATCGTCTATGAGTAATCACCAAGGGGGATGGGGTCTTCTCCTATTCCGATCATATTAACAAAACGTGACAACTCGTCAAGAATTATAGAGTTAACCAGTAATGCAATAAGTGTATATTGTATATGGTTACGACTTTCTCCCAGCAGTCGTCACAGAAACTGCTCCTTACAACTACAGCATATAAGAAATCGTTGATTTTGTCGTATTTTCTGTATTGTCGTCGATCGCCTGGTCCGATTCCTGGACGTGGCCTGGAACTCTTCCAACAGAGCATCACCGTTAACCATATCTGAAAAATACATAAATTATGCTACTGACACCAATTTCCCATATAGCTAGACACATTGACAAAATAGCAAAACAGGTGCTTATGTTACAACTCATTGTCATAAGGTCAAACCTTGCAAAGCCCTTGCAAAAATATTTCCTGATTGCCAAGTAGGATTGGCTCCCAGAGTGCAACATCTATATTCTGTCCCATACATGGAAAAATCCAAAACTCACAAGAAATGATCGAGATAATGGTTCGAATCTTTTGGACCGTTTATTTTGAATTTATAGTCGGTAATAATTTTAAAAAATAACGTCAATTTGAGGTTTTCATTGTTGGAAATATCGATTGTCGATCCTGGGTGCCAATCCTCCTTGCTGATTGCTTAAAATGCTATCAAGATAGGTGCTTATGTAAGTGAAATTGTCAAAAGGTCAAACCTTGCAAAGCCCTTGCAAAAAGTATTTCCTGATTGTTAAAATGCTATCCAGGTTGCCGAACTTATGGATCAAAAGACAAGAACATGAATGTGTAAAACATGTCCCCACCAATGGGTGATCCTATATACTGCAAATTTTTCATCCTTAATGCCTAACACTAATCAGTTGAAAAGAGAATTTAAGACAAAAATCCATTGTGGCCGCCTTAAGATTTACCCAGAATGTCGAAAATCTAATTAGTTCTAGATTTTCATATTATAAATTATTACTTAAACTTTCAAAAATCGATCCGTCAAACTGTTATCCTGAAAATCGGTAGACAATCCTTCACAGACACGATTTTAGGACGGAAAGGCCTAAATGGCCAACTTAAAAGGATCTAGTGCACTCTCCATTATGATTTCCCCATGAACAAAATGAATCATTTTATAGGTGTAACATAAAGAATACAATGTTACATAATACTTTGGAAAATATTTAAGCATTTGGAACCACATGGGCTGAGGTTGAGGTCATTAAGTTCAGCAAGGGTGTATTGACTTGACATTGGGTGTGCTCCATTGGCTAAACATGTGGATATCATCAGATTCCAATGAAGGCCATCGGTTTCTATTGATTTTTACAAAAATACCTAAAATACACTATGACCTGAATCGATTGCAAATTAAACAATTTCACAATATGACTGACACAAATGGTATATCACATCAGATTTGCAAATATGAAGTTCGCAATCGATTCAGGTCACATGAAGAATAGAATGTCATATACCTCTTTGGAAAATATTAAAGTGCTCGGGCACACATAGGCTGAGATAGGGGCCATTTAGTTTAGTGAGGTTGTATTGACTTACGAGGGAAGATCCAAAAGTTTCCGGCCTAACATAGTTCTAGTTGATGGATTTTCAAAATGATAGTGTCATTTTTCAATGTAGTCTCCCTGTACTTCGATGCACTTGGCCCATCTTCTTGGCAGCATCTCAAGTCCAGTTCTGAAGAAATCAGGAGCATGACCCTCCAACCACTGGTTAACAGCTATCTTGACCTCATCATCATCATCATAGCGTTGCCCTCGTAGAGATTTTTTGAGTTTCCCAAATAGGTAATAGTCACTGGGTGCTTGATCTGGAGAATAGGGTGCGTGCGGTAATAATTCCAGATGGCATTCTTCCGCTGCATCACGAGCAACTTGGCTTGTGTGAACAGGTGCATTGTCCTGTTGATGCAAAACTCCAAGACGGACTTTGTGTGGCCTGGTTTCATCAAGTCTAGCTTTTAAGGTACGCAACAAAGCAGCATAATATTCTCCGTTCATTGTAGTACCTCTTGGAAGGTAGTCTACTAAGATAGGACCTTCACAGTCCCAGAAAATAGTGGCCATCATCTTTTTGTTGGATGGGGTGGTGCGAAACTTCTTTGGGGGTGGAGACCCCATATGTTTCCATTGCATTGACTCATGTTTGGTTGAAGGCTCAAAATGACGCACCCATGTTTCATCACAAGTGACTATTCTCTCCATAAAACCTTGTGGATCAGTGTTATACATGTCCAAAAGCTCTCTTGCAACAGCAACTCGTTTTGTTTTCATGTCCTCTGTGAGCATACGGGGCACCCATCTTGAGCTTAACTTTTGCATGTGTAAATCTTGATGAATTATTCTACAAACGGTACCATATGATAATCCAGTTTCTTCTACAAGTTCACGTATAGATTTCCGCCTATCTTCCAATATTGTTCGATGTACAAGATCAACATTTCTATCTGTAGTGACATCTTTAGGTCTTCCAGAACGTGGTGCATCATCAATTGATTCCCGTCCACGTTTAAATTCAGCCACCCAAAATTTTACAGTAGAATAGGAGGGAGCACCTTCCCCATACACATCCTTAAGTCTATCGTAGATTTCCTGCCCTCCATTTTCTTCTTGATATAGAAACTTTATCACAGCTCTATATTCAGTTTTCTCCATTGTGCAGCCACTGTGACCTGACCTCATTATGAATATTCTCAAAATGAGGCTGTGACCCCTAGAGGTTAATCATATGCATAAATTATGTTCATACATAAGCAACATTTGAACTGTGAAGAATGGTTGCTCTCAGACATCGGGAACTATGTTAGGCCGGAAACTTTTGGATCTTCCCTCGTACATGGGGCTGTTCATCATTGACTTAACATGAGGATATCAGATCCCAATAGAGGCCATTGGTTTCTATTGATTATCACAAAAATACCAAAAATGCACTATGACCTGAATCGATTGCAAACTTAATAATTTCACAATATCAAACTATTGGTTTATCTCATCAAATGTGCAAATATGAAGTTTGCAATCGATTCAGGTCATACTTAAAATTAAAAGATTGCACATTTTTTCATCATTTTTTCCCTACAAAATGGCTATAGAAAAATGCTCCAAAAACAACTTTTACACTTATCAAATTCATACAACTTTGTAAAACCAAAGAATATACTATTTTATTTCATTATGTAGTAACATATTTGGATAAGATGTAGGGATGCGTAGGATGCAAATGGATTTTGACAGACACAAAAATACTTCCTGGTTTGGAATCATATGCCTCTACACTTCATGATTGAATTATGACCTTAATAAGTTGCCTATACATCAATACAGTGCTGAATATAGGTCAACAAGATACTAGTGTGCATATAATGTTATAATTAAAGCAGAATACTCATTTTGAAAAATCAGATGAATTATTTTTTTCTCATGGGGAGATCCCAATGGAGGGTGTATAAGGTCCTTAAAAGATTATACATTTTTCATCATTTTTTCCTCCAAAATGGCTTTAGAAAAATGCTTCAAAAGCAACTTTTACACCTATAAATGGCCATACAACTTTGTAAATCCAAAGATTGTACGGTTTTGTTTCATTAATTAATAACATATGTGGATAAGATGTAGGGATGTGTAGGATGCAAATGGATTTTGACAGACACAAAAAGACTTCCTGGTTTGGAATCTATGCCTCTACACTTCATGATTAAATAATGACCCTTATGACCCTATTAAGTGGCCATTACATCAATATATTGTTCAATATAGGTCAACAAGATACTAATGTGCATATAAATGTAATAATAAAAGCAGTATATTTGAAAAATCAGACGAACAATTTTTTCATGGGGAGATCATAATGGAGAGCGCACTACTTCCTTTACATCTGGAGTAAGTATCTTAAAGAGGCTCTATGCCATAGGATAGCACAATCAAGACCCTCTGGACCTTTTGCATATTGAATTTCACCACATATATAGTATATATCCATCTACTTACCAAAGAAGAAATCCCAAATCCCCCTCTTTCAGTGTTAATTTTGCGATCTAATTATTTTCGAAAAAATTAATTTAATCTGAAATTTGAATATACCAGGAAAGTCCTCCTGTTTTCTGATTGGTAGTTTAATTTGTTTATCATTAACCTAATTGGCTGCCTGGTTCAAGGCGCTTGTGGGCGCTTGTGTGACTCAATGGGGATTCCCCTCGCTAGCCGAGGAATCGATTGTGTTTTATTCTGGAGTTTGGTTGTTCTGTTGATTATTTCCGATATTTCAGCAATAATATACCCAAAAGTTATTCTCAAGATATATCCATGGTATGGTATGTGAGATATTATATGAGCAATAACAATACGACATCATTGATTGTCTGGGGGAGAAACCTATGGCATAATGCATCTTTAAGCAAAGACTACATGCTTTTCGTGATTTGACGATGTTGACATTATAAATGGCAATATGGAGAATCCTCCTTAATCAATTGAAGCTCTCGACGACAAGGAGGAAGGCTTATCAAGTGAATTTTACCACGAATAGTGACATCTCGTTGATAAATTGTGCCACTTTATTCAAAGCTATTTTTAAATCAAGTGTTGTCAGCGTAAAAGGAAAAAGAATTCCCTCGTGGATTGGAATGTCAAAAGCAAAGATATAGTTCGAAATTGTCCAGTGGATTTAATTGAATTTACTTTTGAGACAAAATCAAGTTCATTGAGTTATGAGACATCACGATAAACCATGACATCTCATTTTCTTTTCAGCCATGTTTCTTGTGAAACAAAAAGATGTGCAGTGATGGGTATCAGAATGATTTTGATTGCATGACTTACATAACAAGTTTGGCGTGTATTCTGCTCAACACATTAGTTATTAGGCATTCTGCCTTTTAAAAATTGTGTTAGAGAATACAAAGCACACCAAAGATAAGGAATCGTTTAAGGGTTAAATACGGAAGAAATACCCCAGCATTCATGGCTGAACCTGATGGATGAAGATGGATCTTTATCTATGAATTCTGGGATATTCCACCGTGGGTGGATTGTGTCAAGACATAATAACGCCACAATGACGTCACCAGGTTTACCTAAACTCTCCACTTCCATCTCCGCGCATGGTATAATCTCCTGCATTTCATGTATAACCTGGATGATCTCTAGAATATCTCTGCAAATAGAAAAATCTCATCTTAGACAAGATTACACCCAGATTTCATATCGTAACATCCTTCTGTTTCATCTCACTTAATAAATATAAATTGTTGAGAGTAAGCAAAGATAAACGTCAATTCTTTAATTACTTTGTCAGTGCTTTTTAAGTCGAGTTTAGGTTCTGACTACCAGGTGGCCAGACCCGGAGGTGGAAAACAGTTATTAGTATTACAGCAAAAGTGTTTCACTTCAACATGCTGAAATTAAAAACATTTGGTGCACTTGGCTTTAGAGAAGTTCATAGCCTTCTCAAAGGTTCTTTGTGCAATTTTAATTAAAACTAGAGGACAAGATTCTTTGTAAATAATAAACACTTGTTAATTGCCATGTCCGTGACTTTGTTGATGATGAACACTTGTTAATCGTCATGTCCGTTACTTTGTTGATAATGAACACTTGTTAATCGCCATGTCCGTTACTTTGTTAATAATGAACACTTGTTAATCGTCATGTCCGTTACTTTGTTATAATGAACACTTGTTAATCGCCATGTCCGTTACTTTGTTAATAATGAACACTTGTTAATCGTCATGTCCGTTACTTTGTTATAATGAACACTTGTTAATCGCCATGTCCGTTACTTTGTTGATAATGAACACTTGTTAATCGCCATGTCCGTTGCTTGTTGACAATGAACACTTGTTAATCGCCATGTCCGTTACTTTGTTATAATGAACACTTGTTAATCGCCATGTCCGTTACTTTGTTAATAATGAACACTTGTTAATCGCCATGTCCATTACTTTGTTAATAATGAACACTTGTTAATCGCCATGTCCGTTACTTTGTTGATAATGAACACTTGTTAATCGCCATGTCCGTTACTTTGTTATAATGAACACTTGTTAATCGCCATGTCCGTTACTTTATTAATAATGAACACTTGTTAATCGTCATGTCCGTTACTTTGTTATAATGAACACTTGTTAATCGCCATGTCCGTTACTTTGTTGATAATGAACACTTGTTAATCGCCATGTCCGTACCTTGTTGACAATGAACACTTGTTAATCGCCATGTCCGTTACTTTGTTATAATGAACACTTGTTAATCGCCATGTCCGTTACTTTGTTAATAATGAACACTTGTTAATCGCCATGTCCGTTACTTTGTTAATAATGAACACTTGTTAATCGCCATGTCCGATACTTTGTTGACAATGAACACTTGTTAATCGCCATGTCCGTTACTTTGTTAATAATGAACACTTGTTAATCGCCATGTCCGTTACTTTGTTAATAATGAACACTTGTTAATCGCCATGTCCGTTACTTTGTTAATAATGAACACTTGTTAATCGCCATGTCCGTTACTTTGTTAATAATGAACACTTGTTAATCGCCATGTCCGTTACTTTGTTAATAATGAACACTTGTTAATCGCCATGTCCGTTACTTTGTTGACAATGAACACTTGTTAATCGCCATGTCCGTCACTTTGTTAATAATGAACACTTGTTAATCGTCATGTCCGTTACTTTGTTATAATAAACACTTGTTAATCGCCATGTCCGTTACTTTGTTGATAATGAACACTTGTTAATCGCCATGTCCGTTACTTTGTTATAATGAACACTTGTTAATCGCCATGTCCGTTACTTTGTTGACAATGAACACTTGTTAATCGCCATGTCCGTACCTTGTTGACAATGAACACTTGTTAATCGCCATGTCCGTTACTTTGTTATAATGAACACTTGTTAATCGCCATGTCCGTTACTTTGTTAATAATGAACACTTGTTAATCGCCATGTCCGTTACTTTGTTAATAATGAACACTTGTTAATCGCCATGTCCGTTACTTTGTTGACAATGAACACTTGTTAATCGCCATGTCCGTTACTTTGTTGACAATGAACACTTGTTAATCGCCATGTCCGTCACTTTGTTAATAATGAACACTTGTTAATCGCCATGTCCGTTACTTTGTTAATAATGAACACTTGTTAATCGCCATGTCCGTTACTTTGTTGACAATGAACACTTGTTAATCGCCATGTCCGTCACTTTGTTAATAATGAACACTTGTTAATCGCCATGTCCGTTACTTTGTTAATAATGAACACTTGTTAATCGCCATGTCCGTTACTTTGTTAATAATGAACACTTGTTAATCGCCATGTCCGCTACTTTGTTGACAATGAACACTTGTTAATCGCCATGTCCGTCACTTTGTTAATAATGAACACTTGTTAATCGTCATGTCCGTTACTTTGTTATAATAAACACTTGTTAATCGCCATGTCCGTTACTTTGTTGATAATGAACACTTGTTAATCGCCATGTCCGTTACTTTGTTATAATGAACACTTGTTAATCGCCATGTCCGTTACTTTGTTGACAATGAACACTTGTTAATCGCCATGTCCGTACCTTGTTGACAATGAACACTTGTTAATCGCCATGTCCGTTACTTTGTTATAATGAACACTTGTTAATCGCCATGTCCGTTACTTTGTTAATAATGAACACTTGTTAATCGCCATGTCCGTTACTTTGTTAATAATGAACACTTGTTAATCGCCATGTCCGTTACTTTGTTGACAATGAACACTTGTTAATCGCCATGTCCGTTACTTTGTTGACAATGAACACTTGTTAATCGCCATGTCCGTCACTTTGTTAATAATGAACACTTGTTAATCGCCATGTCCGTTACTTTGTTAATAATGAACACTTGTTAATCGCCATGTCCGTTACTTTGTTGACAATGAACACTTGTTAATCGCCATGTCCGTCACTTTGTTAATAATGAACACTTGTTAATCGCCATGTCCGTTACTTTGTTAATAATGAACACTTGTTAATCGCCATGTCCGTTACTTTGTTGACAATGAACACTTGTTAATCGCCATGTCCGTCACTTTGTTAATAATGAACACTTGTTAATCGCCATGTCCGTTACTCTGTTAATAATGACTTCTGACTTCATGAACAGTATACCAGGCAAATCGTATCACGAAGCTTTAACGTTCACATGGAAGTAGTTCAATTTGGCATACTATACTCAGGTGGATTTCCTAGCAACTTCGATATGGATTAGTATAATCTTTGGATTGTAAGTTAAGTTGCTTTGTTTGTTTCGGATGTCGAGTAACAAACACTTTCAAGATTGATGAGTTCGGATCAATGTGCCTGACCAGAGCACGGCCCTTGTGATGATTACTTTTTCTTTTATTTGTCAAATGGGAAAATACCCTTAATTGGTCTCCTCGGATTCTTTTTGAGCAATCTATGAAATTAAGAATTCAGAGCACGTGATAAATATAGAGAGCTGTCTTATATCTCATTTCCTCGTTACATATAGCAATGGGATAGTTAATCCAAGCCCTTATACTTGTGTGGAGCAAAACAGGCACGAAATGACAAATGACCTTTTAATGATTGCTCATTTACCCTTTAATTTGTTTTGGAGCTTTATTTTTAAAGTACTGAAATTTTCTACCTGGAAATGATTCTGCATGATAAGGCAAAGCATTGGCTTTCAACTCGAATTGAAAGCCCATGGGCAAAGTAATGGGCAACAGTGATAAGCAATGAAAAAATCAGTACAAAAGATTCGTGCTGGGTTTTAGGATAAATAATAGCCTTTGGGCTAGCGGCCCTCGGCTATTATATAGCTCATACTTTATCCATAACAGAAAAACACAGAAATAAATGGCATATTTTTGGCATAGCATTCTAGTATTTTTCGATGGTTTTGTTTCTTATTGATCTCCAAATGGAGTATACAGATATAGACGACAAGAATGTCGTACCATTCTTTTGAGGCCGAACATGATAGTAATCGATTAAGCTACGTTCACACCAACGGCGCTTTGATGGCGCTTTAAAGCGGCTTGTAAAGCGGCACCAAAGCGTAACAAAGCTTAATTAAAGCGTCGGGGTCGTAATAGGTCGTAGAAAAGCTCGGAGTAAAGCGGGATATTCGGCAAGAGCGCCAAACATTTTTAAAGCTACGTTCACACCAATGGCGAATGCCACGCTTTAAATCGGCGAGCACAGCGCCGTCATTTTTGTTTACTTTTCCAAAAATATCACGATCTCCTAAGTAATGTTACGCTCTGATACGTTCTGATTTCCCGACTTGTTACGGTTCCTCACGCTATGATCCCGCTTCGACCAGGCTTTGTTACGCTTAAAATCACGCTTTGATAAGCTTTGGTAAGCATTATTACGCTTTGATGCGATTATGACGCTTTAATCAGGCTCTGCTACGATTACCAAGCTGTATTGTGCATTTTCGAGATCGCCTTTATCATGACGCTTTTGATCAAATGGCTGTATAAAGATGCAGTAGATCCATAAAACCATTGCATCTTTGACTCGAGAAGACGATGGCAGAACAACAAAATCCAGAAGTTCCAGATGGACCAGATCATTACCTATCTGAAGAAGACATGATGTTTGTTGCACGGCGTGAAAGAGCGTGAGAGAACGTGAGGAAGCTTGTCAAGCGTAACAAAGCTTAACAAAGCGTTTCAATCCTTGATTAAAGCGTCTCAATTCGTTAAAAGGCTTGAGAGTCTTTCATGAAAGCGTAACAAAGAGTGTCAGATATTGATGAAAGCGTCTGACCTCGTGTCAGATCTTCATGCCAGATCGTAGCAAAACTTGAGACATCTAAACGAAACGTGTCAAGTGGTAACAGGCCGTGAAGAGACTGGGGCCCCCGCTTTGAACCAAGCTCTGTTAAACTTTCCTACGCTTTGGGTCAAGCTTTGCTGAGCTTTGTTACGGTTTAATAAGCCTTAATACGCTTTCGGTGCTTTATTCAATTCGTAACGGAGCGCCCAAAATTTTTAAACAGTTTAAAAAGTTTTGGCGCTCTTGCCGAACATCCCGCTTTACTCCGAGCTTTTCTACGACCTATTACAACCCCGACGCTTTAATCAAGCTTTGTTACGCTTTGGTGCCGCTTTACAAGTCACTTTAAAGCGCCATGCTTTGGTGCCGCTTTGCTCGCCGATTTAAAGCGTGGCATTCGCCGTTGGTGTGAACGTAGCTTAATGGATACGTTTCAAAATCACACTGGTAATTACATAAGTAACATATAGAATATTTGAATGACCTAATTATTTGAATGAAAGCTGCATCTCTCATACCTTTCAATTTTTTAAATCTTTAAAATGGTATGATTTATTGAAATGCCACTTGGGCAGTTTTTAATTTGGGGTTGGCAAACGGTTGATTCGGCATTGACGAAAGAAAATAATTATAAAAAACAAACGGTATCAAAATGTAGCAGCATTCAAGCATATTGAAAGAAATAACGACAAAAAACTTGCAACAACAGTTTTGGTACCTAGACGACAATCCCAAACAACTTAAATAAAGCATGATGATAGCTGACAAGGGAATACTCAGAAATACTCACTGCGTTACTTGATCCTGAGTAAACGATGCATACTTTTCTCGAAGCTGATTTTCTGTACCCGATTTCTCTTTCGATTTGTCTCGAGTTGTAACCGTTACATGTACTTCCTCTCTTCCTGAAAAGACACGTTGGGAAGCCATAATAATATTTGAACCGTGTTGTGAAAGGAAAGGGACGAGAGAGTCTATCTGCTCATTTTGTATTGTAAGTCTGGACTCACCCAGGCCTGGTCTTAAATACTTATTTAATTCACCATGATGGAACAAATTCACAAGAACTAAACTCAGTACCTCAGTAAGAAACGGGATGTTACATCTCTGGAGTGTGAAAAACAGAAAAGGAGTTGCATGGAGATTTACAAGTGTTCATAAGCCTATAACAAAGTAACGGGCATGGCGATTAACACGTGCTCATTATAACAAAGTAACGGACATGGCTACTATGAAGACTAACAAGTGTTTAATAACAACGATCGAAACATGTTTAAGAGCCCCTATTCTCAATAAAGGATTGCTTTTAGAAATGAAGATTTCAGCAAGAGTGTACAAATGGAGATATGAATACATGTAAATTCAAGTAACATGTCTTATCATGTCTTATATACACGTTACCCCCCCCCCCCCCTCCTCCGTTCAATTTAGATTTTTTCGATTTTTTTTAACGTATGGAAACTAATTTTAAAAAGCCAATAATATCTTTAGTCGCCTTGTGATAATAATATAACTTATTTTTATTACAGGTCGTGTAGACCATTGTTGCCTGATTTATAGCAAAAGCATTGACTTTTGCACGTTGGTGACGATGCGCCTTTTTAATAGATCTCATATCTTAGAAGCGTATCCGTTAAACAAAATACTAGAAGACCTAACATATTTTGCCATGTACTGCGCCTATTCTTTGGCAATTCAAACTTTCTCTTGAAAAAAATAGAACTTCCCATTTTGTTGAATTTTTTGCAGAAATCGCCTACTCCCCCTTCGTTCATTTTGTTCGATTGAAAAATCTCTTGCCTTACTTCCTGCGAAAGCTATTTGGATTTTGATATATTAGCTTTCCCACGGAGCATTTGGACAGCTCAATGATCGTGACCTTTGAAATCGAATTAAGTCGATCCGCGGCTTACTTTTGGTCTCTAACTGTGTCTTACATCAGTATCATCAATCCGTGTAAGTATTGGAGCGCTGGAGTACTTCTTTTTCGATCAAGACTTGTAATTGTTAGTCGAGTGAATCGTTTTACTGCCAAATTCCAATATGGCGGTTTCTGCTCGGACATTTTCGTAAATCTCCGGAGGTTGTCCGAACCTAACTAATTCTCAAAATTCATTTCGTTCGTTGCGTATCTCGCACCTAGCAAACCGCCATATTGGAAATAGGTCTGTAAAACGTTAACTCGATGAACAATTTACAAGTCTTGATCGAAAAAGAAGTACTCCAGCGCTCCAATACTTACACGGATTGATGATACTGATGTAAGACACAGTTAGAGACCAAAAGTAAGCCGCGGATCGACTTAATTCAATTTCAAAGGTCACTATTGATCAGCTGTTCACTTCTCCGTTTGAGAGCCATAAGTTTCAAAATCTAACATGGCTCTCGAAGTGAGTAACTCTTGCCTACATGTACTGATGAATGTTTTTGGTCCCATCTGTACTGCAAACAATGGCACAACGACCTTATGGTATAAAAATAGTAGCAATTAAATGTAAGGGTTGCCTCTTATATCCCTCCGCGGAGCACTTATTCAATTTAAGGCTTATTTCTGCTTCATTTTTGATTGTTTGATCGTCTGAAGACTAATTTCTTGAAGATGATAATAGGTGTACACTCCCCTCCATAAGTGTGACATTAATGACACATTATAGCCAAACATGTACAGGCTTTTATACGTAATCCAAGAAGGAACTTCCGGTTTCCAAACTTATAGAGGGGATTGTACATCTCGGATACTTGAATGTTTCTGTTTACAAACGTTCGTTCGGATTTCCTAAAGTTAGTTATTACAATTGACCAGATTTACGTAGTTCATGCAATTTGGTTTTAAATCCTCAGCTATATCATTATTACATCTGCCTATAATTGCCACAATTAATCTTACGATGCCAGGGAGACTAAGCCTTTCTCCGATCTTTTACAAAGTTGATACGTGATTTGATTGCTAATGAAATATTTAGAAATATGATAGTATGAGTGATTACGCTTGATTCTTGCAGTGAACAAAGACCTTATAAAGAACAGATAGACTTTTGAAACTGATTTTGCAATAATAATATATTGCCAATCAATCTATGCTTTTGTGTTATCTATTTGATATCAGCCAGTGATATTCTAATATATTCTGATATAACTGAGATCTTCATATAAGTGCCTGATTACAACTGTTCTCCTTGTTTCGTCTCGATCGGAACTACCGTTCGTCATTGCAAGGAATGGAAGACTTGTCCAGGGGAATTGCAAATGTTGCATAGATGGAAATATTAAAATTCATAAAGCTTCACAGGGTCATTTATCAAAATCTGATAAAGAGTTTACATGCTGTATTTGTTCTGAGCGAGCCGAGTAGCGTATTATACTATGTTTGGCTTACCCGCCCAAAGTATGCACGCGTTGTTTACGGGTGTGTATATGGTTGGCCTATTAGTATAAAGAATACATGCGTTGTTTACGGGTGTGTAGGCGTTAATTACGCCCGTGTAGACGTGAAATTACGCCCGTGCAGACGTAATTTACGCCCGTGTAGGCGTTAATTACGCCTGTGTAGGCGTTAATTACGCCCGTCAAAGCGTTAATTACGCCCGTTAAGAAGTGAATTCTATACGCGTTAAAACAGATACAGGCGTAAACTAACGGCGTTAAAATGTTCAATAGCGGGCGTCAGGACAGTATCTAACACCCGTTGAAAAACATCTATACGCCCGTCGAGTTCATTTTAGCGCCGTGAATTATGAACCAATCAGCATCTTGCTTACATGATGATACGATGCATTGTAGCTAAAAGTACAACTCCCAGCCGAAACCTACTGCTCCTGCTTCTGAAACACTATATATATATAACAAAGCTAAAAGAGACAAAACCAACAAGACAAAGTTTCACAATGTATTGCACTCTACAAAGGGAGACAAACAAAGCAACAGCATACAGTCTAAGTAACAAGCAAGCTTTTATAAGTAAATGGGAGCTTGTGGAAAAAATAATTTTGCATCCTCCTTAACTCCTCACTTAAAATTAACTTTGGACATTCCCCTTACCTGCCCTAGCCTCTGACATTATATTCTTCAATTCTTCAATGCTTTTTTTTACTTGCAAAGTTATATAAGTTTCAATTCAATTAAATCAAAAGAATGATCACATTATCTAAAGACCATAAATGATGTAAAAACAATGTATTGTAACTAAATATGATGTATGTAACTTTAAAATGAAATAAAAAAAAGAAAAAAAAGTACAACTCCAAGATCCTTGTGCAAGTTAATAACATACTCATGATTGTGCCAGGAACAACTGTTGCAATTGGAGGCATGTGAAATATTATTTCTTTTCTGGGTATCTTGGTGCACTATTTGTGCAAATGTGAAAGATGTACATCTTATATTAAATGAGTTATGTATTCCTGGAAATAACATGTGACATATAAAGACGACTGCATAAAGATTCCAAAAAGTACACATCTCCCTAACACCAAATTTGAACATATGTTGGCTAGGTATACTATACTAGGTATATAGGCTCATTTGACATTTCCAGTACATTTTCAAAAAATGCCAGATCTGCAGGATATAGTCTAGAGTCAATTTGCAGTTGATCAGATACTATAATTCTAGTATCTGGACACATCCTTTAGAGGGATACACTAGCGATCTGACTGTATAATGAGACTGTAAGCTGCAATGCGTGTGAGCTTAATAAGTCCCTACCTAGCCTACCTCTGAAACCGACGCCTAGATTGGAGAATTATCCAAAATCATCGTATTTAGAAACCAAACATGTATACCTTCTCAAAATATTCTGCAATTTTGTCGTTTCTACAATGGGTGTTGATAACTGCCAACACAATACACATCTCTTCAATTTGCCTTTTAATATGATTTACTAAAAAATGAATACTTCTTTGGTTAAATCTAGTTCAATCTTGAACGAATATTTAAGGACCTCAATGCAACACACTAAAATGTAAGCAGGCTTCTGATTGTTGTTTACTAGCGCAAGTATCTCGGAGTTGCTCTTTTAGCAAGGATGCATTAAATCATCATGTAAGTAAGGTTCTGATTGGTTCATAATTTACGGCGCTAAAAATAAACTCCACGGGTGTGAAGATGTTTCTCAGCGCGTGTAAAATAACAGTCTTAACGCCCGTAATTAATAATTTTAACGCCGTAAGTTCACGCCTGTAAATGTATTCTGAACGCCCGTAGAATTTACTTCTTCACGGGCGTAATTTACGCCTACACAGGCGTAATTTTTCGTCAGCACGGGCGTAATTTTACATCTACACGAGCGTAATTAACGCCTACACACCCGTAAACAACGCACGCATTCTTTATACTAATAGGCCAACCATATGTGTAGGCGTTAATTACGCTCGTGCAGATGTAAAATAACGCCCGTGCAGACGTAAAATTACGCCTGTGTAGGCTTATATTACGCCCATGAAGAAGTAAATTCTGCGGGCGTTCCAACAACATTTACGGGCGTAAACTTACGGCGTTAAAATGATTAATTACGGGCGTTAAGACGGTTATTTTACACGCGTTGAGAAACAGAGTTTATTTTTAGCGCCGTAAATTATGAACCAATCAGCACCTTACTTACATAATGATTCAATGCATCCTTGCTAAAAGAGCAACTCCAAAATCCTTGCGCAAGTAAATAACAATCAGAAGCCCGCTTACATTTTAGTGTGTTGCATTGAAAATATTCGTTCAAGATTGTTAGACTTAACAAAAAACGTATTCAATTTTTAGAGTAAATTAAAAGGCAAATTGAAGATACATCATGTACTGTGTCGGCAGTTATCAACACCCATTGTAGAAACGACAAAATTGCAGTATATTTTGAGAAGGTATACATGTTTGGTTTCTAAATACGATGATTTTTGGATAATTCTCAAATCTAGTC